ACAGAACCCGAAAGCTCTGTCTTGAGGGGTAAATAAAACTGTTATTTAATATAGTTATTTTCTTCCTAAATCATCTTTCGTCTTAAACTGAGTATATTAAACTACTGTCTCCAATGTGGGTCTTCTGTCCACCCCCCATTGCGCGCGTCCAGCAGCGATTGGTGGTTAAATTGGTTGATGTACCGTGTACATCAACCAAGAAGTGGACGCCTCCACGAATATTACCTTTAGAGGTAATATTCCGACAACATCGTATTTCTCTAATGATGTTGATTAAATATGATCAAAATAGATAATATTCAAAAATTGGTACCTTTGTACAAATTTTTATGTAACGGGCTCACCCCGTTACAAGCAGCTTTTCCACCAACACTCCTATTTCCCGGGCGCAACCGCTCGCCGATTTTTTGCACGGGTGTCCGCGAAGTTCAGAGATAACACTGTAATCGCACCAGAGGGTAAAGCATCTTTCTGTTTTTATAGATCGAGGGAGTTAGCTGATGACATGGCTAAAGTGTGGGATGAGCTGATCCAACGACGCACTTTTAACGTCCAGAGTACTAATGGTTTTCTAGCGCGGGGTCCCCCTCCTACAATTTTACAAGATCCTGCAGTGATAGATGATATTGACGCTGACGATGTTTCCGCTGCTATAAAAAAGTGTAAGCACGGGAAGGATGCTGGACCGGACGATCTCGGCAACTCCTTTTACAAGGACCATTCGGACGAACTTGCCCCTGTCCTGGCATCTTTATACAATCGATGGCTTATGTGTGGGGTGACGCCTTCTTTTATCGGAGGGTCCACCATTCACTGTCTCAAGAAAAATTCAACGTCTTGACGTCCACTGGATCCCAGACTCATTGCTCTACTTAATTCTAATTATAAATTGTTTACCGAGATACTCGCAACAAGGCTACGACCGATTCTTCCCACAGTGATTGACACTGCCCAATTTGGTTTGTGCCGGGTCGCAATATTTTGTCTGCAACAGACATGTTTAAAGCGGCAAAGAAAGCTTCCAATAGTGACGAGGCGATGAAAAAATCGATTGTGCTACTTTTGGACTTTGCTAAGGTCTACGACACCCTGTAGTGACCCTTCCTCTTTGCAGTGCTTACTTGGATGATTTTCGAAATCATTTGTCAATATTGTCGCTGCTCTTACGAGAACGCGACATGCCAGTTCATTGTGATTGGTTTTCTCTTCCGGCGTGTACAAATGAATTGTGGCATCCGACAAGGCTACCCAATGGCTCAATTATTATTTATTCTAGCTCTTGACAGCGCTTACAAAGTGTTTCGAATGCGCGGGGACATTCATGGAATCACGCTTCACGCTGCAGGTCAAGTCAAGCCAATTACTGTATTTGGGTACGCTGATGACACAGCCATCTACCTTCGCCGTCGCGGGGACCTCCCTAAGGTTCTTAAAGTTTTGAGGCGTTCGAGTACGTTTCAGGACTTTCTATCAACTAGGCCAAGTCCGTTGTCGTCGTGCTTGGCCGACAACAAACAATGGTTGAAGAGCACACGCACGGCCTAACCTTACTGCAGCCCACCGACACATGTCGCTATCTTGGTATACAAGTTGGCCAAGTTGGTGCATCCATAATTGACTGGGAAAATGTTTTCAGTCGGTATGGGCAAGACTTGCACTGGCGCGCCAGAAGACGCATTCTATCGATTAGAGAGCGCTCCTGATTCGCGCGATTGCGCTGCTAAAGTTTTCGTACGTCGCACGACATTGCTCGCCGCCAAAAAAACACTATTAAGCGTCTACACAAGCTTACAAAAGACTTTGTGTGGGTTATGCAGGACGGGAAGCGGAACAGGCCATGGATTCCAGAAGAACAAGCTGAACTTTCGATTAACACGGGTGCTCTATCAGTTTCGTGTATATACCGAGCTCGTTACTTTAGCCGCAAAAACAGTTGGATCCTGGGCCACTTCGGCAGGTCCACTTGAAATCCTTCTAGGTGATATCCTTTGGGCAGGCAGCACATCACGACCTGCTTATATAACTCCATACTGGGCCGAACGTGCCCTAGCAAGTATTTGCAACACATTATGGGACATAGGTGCTGGTGTTGTCGGAGTGGCGGCGGCTGAGCATGCCAGAGGTGGCACCACCGAAAGCCTGAGACGAAGGGCGAAACATTTTTTGGCCAACTTTAAAGATACGTATGACATCGATGGGAGTGTCACCGTCGATAAGTCCACCGCTCTAAACAGTAAAATAATAGCCACCTTGAAAGCAGACGACGTCACAGTTGGTCGAGTGGACCCGCACTGGTTAATGCATGTATCGCTTGGTAACATGTCATGGCTTCTTTCCAGTGATGGCCTGCATTACAAATTTAACGGTGATATTTTTGCGGTCGGCAAGACAACTCTTAAACATGTACTTTTCTGGACATGGATTAGCCCCGGTAGCGTGCGTTTCACCCCGCTTTCAGCTTCTACCAGCGCAGTACATCCTGCTAAAACTCGGCACTTCGTGCGATTTTGCCACGCATTGATGTATAACTTCCCTACACTACTATTTTCCTCGCCTCTCGCTAAATCTATGACACCTTACGCAACCAAAACGCACCAGCATCACATCTGGAGTTTAGACAAGAGCGGCAGGAATACTGTGACCTATGACACGGCCCAAGTGTTTAATCCCACTCCTCTACACTCAATGGTTGACTGCGATCAGGTTACAACACGTGCCTACGGTACCCCTGTACACTTAACAGCACATCCAAAGCTGACCCGAATTGCACAGATCTGGGCTGGCACTTGTCGCTGGAAGCCTTGGGCTACGTTATATAGAAAATTGCTGCCAGTTTGCGGGCATATAATGGTTTTACGAAACGAGATTGTAGGATATACAGTCGATAACACGCGATTGTCACCCTCGGTTTTGACTCTTTGCATTGGCGCGGTCTCCGATGAATCCGTGCCACGCCTCCATACGCCACCCAGACGATCTATCGGCTCAAGTGTAACCGTTTTCCACTTTGGAATCGCTTGGCGAACAACTTGTCCTGTACTAATCCGGGCTGCTCGCCACGTGACTATGCCCCTGCAAGTCATGTGTTCTGGGTTTGCCCACTCGCCCAGCGACGGTGGCGGGAACTGTTCGACGTGTGGAGCAGGATCGGTCGACTTCCTGACACCGACCTATCGCACTTTATGTGTTCACTAACACTTTCGAAGACCCCCTGAACATGCATGGCATATTGCATTGGCTGTTTTACAGCCAAACGAACGCAATATTGAGACTCGAGCGGTCGTCTCTGACTATGTCAACGAATTGTGCGTTTTGTTGTGTCGATTACAATCCACGCTATCTGGCTGGAACGGCTACGACGAATAAAGGACTCGACAGTATCCGACGAAAGCCACAACTTAATTGCCCAAGCTATTTTGCGACGAGCGATCACTTGTTTTCGTGGTTCATCTTACCAACCTGGTGGCGATACCCAGGATTTCATTCTTGCTCGAGTTCGATCTGCGCTTGCTGATGCGATTTTGCACCACATTGGGGTGCCACAACTACGATCCCTGGCTTCACAACAGTTGCCATCCGACAAGTATCTGTTTTTTTGGTGGTACGTGTCGCAGAAGCCTCGGACGGGTGGAGGTTCTGGATCTATAATCGTGCGAGTACAGGAGCAGACACATGCCGCTCGAATCGTGTGGATGGCGAGCATGTCGCTTGGGTCGTCGAAGACGACTAGTATGGCTGCGTAATACGGCCTTGCCCACGGTTTTAGGAGGCGAAGGTCAGCGGCTATCGTTATCTGTATGTTGTTGGGGATAGCACTATGATTATCACTCAACTTCGGCTGCAACGCTGCCCGCGCCAGCCACACCTCGCCACGCTTTGCCGAAAAGCGCGGTGTCTTGCCAATGATGTTGAAGTCGCAAATTGGTCTCACCAGTACCGTGACTTCAACACTATGGCAAACCTTGCGGCAACAATTGCGATGGATATCAAGCAATCGCTTCAAGTTCACGCACCCGTTGATCGCGTCATTACCCGAAAACTGCAAGCATACCTCCACCACGATGTCACTACTTGCTTGAGACATCACATTCCAACCAAGTCGGAAAAAGTTCCTGTTGCTCGCGGACCGCCTGTAGACGGGATACGGCAGAGAATGTATAATAGCGAACAGGCATCCCGTTTAAGCGAGGCCACTACCGGATGCTGAAGGTCATTGCGCCGGCTAGTTAGTTCAGTCTAGACAGAAGGTTGCTGGTCGCTAGTCGTTCCTTACTATACCTCACTTTTACTACTACTACGACAGTACATGCTATCTATACCAATGACAGTGACACAGGTTTGCCGACACCTCACGCACACTACAGAGTGTACAAGAAGCGCAGTCACATAATTGCAATGCGAGGTTAATTTGAAAAAAAACAGAACTGATTTCGATGTAGTCATGTGTTTGCAATTAGACCGTTCACACGGTCTAATTGCAGTATAAGAGCTTGTGATTGATTACGAGTGCTGTCGATATGACGTCTCATTTGCAAGCATTATCCATCTGTCACTGTCGTATACCGATCGCACATGACGTGAAAAGTAGCGATTAGGCTGTTAGAAATGTTACGCGACGTGTCAACTGAGCGGCGTCATCTGTTGCATGACTGAAGTCGGTGGTAGTATAAAAATGACCTCCTCGATCGCTTATCAGACGTATCTATGCCTTCATCGATGTGTGAGCCAAAACTCTGGCAACAACGTGACAATGGCAATATAACTAGGCACACTGAGCAAGTATTGACAAAAGCGTCCCCTCCGTCGCAGTCGTGTCCTGAGTATGTCTACAACGTGTGAATGGATTGCCTGACGCCATCAAAAATCTGACTCGTGATGGACATGTCCAGTGATGTACGGCCCGAGCATCGCTCGTTTGCATCAACAAAGATTCGTTTGTTCATTGATAAATAAGTCGCAAGAGCGCCCTGTTCACGGTGTCTCTATCATCCTTGGTCCAGTTAGCTCCCGCTTTTTTCATTTTTTTTACTCTTGATTCCCGGCTGACCATTGTTGTCTCTACCGAGTGTCTTCTCCTTTACAACCGCCGCTTTCGCGCCGATTCCAGCAACGTCAAGCTTTCGTTTCTCCCCACAATGTGTCGATTGCTTTGCATGTACTGTCGACGGTGCAGCTACTGAAGCCGTTGAGACCATAGTAGCGGCTTGCCTCGGCGTTGCAAGCGCCGCGCTAACATTCGATATCATAGCCACCACTGGCTTGGTTGCGATTGGTGGAGTAACACCGGTCTGCGCCAATGGCACTTTTGGCGTACACGGCATCGCCGCTACGGAATTTACAGCCGCCGGAGCAACACGACGTGTCTGCGCTGCTTGTGTCAGACTCGCGACCATTGGCTTCGGCGATGCAGCTTTCACACCAGCGGTCGATGCCGCAACTACTGCTGGCTTCGGCCGTAGATTGTTCCCTGATGATGCGAGCCCTGTCTGCATTCGCGATGCAGCTGCTTGTAGCTTGGCCGTGTGAGCCATCATTGAGCCCATAGCTGCCGCCACGGCTGCAGCAGTTGAACCAGGGGCGAAATTAAGCTGAAATGCGGACGGTGAGGTTATCTGTTGCAGATTAGCAGACCCCAATACTTGCGTCGGGGGATCCTTGGAACGTCGAGGTTTCACAACCTTCTCGGTAGGCTTCTCGCACGTATCACGCAGCATAAGTTCGCGTCCGCCCACGACGACCTGATTTGTTTTAGGTCGACAGTGTTGCTCCGGGGGCTCAATACAGGAAGTAGCGCGTATCAACGCAGTTGGTGCGCTAGTGGCTCCAAACAACAGTTCAGGACTCGCTCGAACACCATTCGGAATACCAGGAGTCCCACTCGCGTTAACAACGCGCTGTACACTTGATGCGGCCGTCGTCGTAGATCGATTCAGCGTCATTGACGGCACCGTCCCACCCAGTGGCGCAAACCCTGGCGGAAGGTGGGTGACGTGCGAACGGTTAGAGCCTTGAGGGAATACTACAGATCGCATGAAACTCATCGGAATCCCGGCAGTCATCACACCGTTATCACCAACGACAGGACCTGTCTGGGTTGCAGTCAAACTTGGCACGGGTGCTGCCGACGAAACTGCGGTGCTAGTGGCTAGTTGCTTCTTCCAGTATTCAGCAGCGGTGCTGGTAGCAGGCTTCACAACTGGAGTCGTCGCACGCGGTACTTCCTTTTCTAGCACAGCATAAGTTTTTAGGCGCAGCTTCCCGTGCGAATGCGACATCCTTTCTGACGACTTTTTGCCCTTGTCCATTTCATTCATACGGACAACAAAACGCCGACCTGAGTTGTCCACATCAAGGTTCCCGCAAGCGTTGTCAAACACCACATTGTCTTCGACAATCACACTTCCGGCGTGATAGAGCAACCTCAAGCCGAATCGAGCATTTCGTTGAATCTTGTTCAGCCGCACCAATGCCTGTCCACCCAGAACAGTAACGCCCGAATGCGCGTTCTCTTCGACGGTGTTTAGCGACATGACTAATGACCCGCGCACGAGGAGCACACCAGAACTTCCAGCACCACGAATACGGCAGTTATGTAGTACCAATAATGTATCAGATACAGGAGAAGTCGAAGTCGATACACATTGCGGTGCACTCGTCACCGAAGAACATGGTGGGTCAACTCGTGATTCCGAAGCCATTGATGCAAATGCCACCGGTGTAATAGGTGCTGGCGCTGTTGCAGCCGTCACGGGCGTAGAAATACTTGCTCTAGCACTTTCCGCAATAGGTGCCCCAGTGGCAACCTGCAATGTTGTACTCGTAGTTCCTGTCGCGGAAACGCGCGCTGCCGGGTTTACTGGAGTGGCAACACGCGGCAAAGCAGTTGCTGGAATGACAGTCAGTGATGCAACAGTCTTTGTTGTGTCGCTCGCCGATGATAGAGCAACGGACGGAGAGGGCGATTTAACAGCCAAAGTAGCAGGAGCTGCTGGCGACGGGACAAACGCTGCGGAAGCATCCGTTGTGAAAGTAGCTGAGGTCGATGACATGGGATCAAAAATTTCGGTCGTGTTCGACTTCAACGTCGAAACGGTCTCGGCATCCGTGTATCGTGCCCTCTTCCTTTTCGATCGTTTCCGTTTCTTGGCGCCACAACCCCACACGCATATACAAGCGTTGCCCAAACCCTTTCCATCAAATTCGCAGTACTCCACACGCAGCTGCCCGTGGCCTGCAACTCGCAACAGATTCTGCCAGTTACACAGCTTCTTGTCTCGTTTTCGTACGACGCGTCTGCTTTCTTCGACCGCGGGTGCCAATTCCGTGGCATCAGAGCTTGGTTTTATATCAGTCGCGGCGAAATCGCAAGTACTGTTCGTCCGCGTAAAGTGAAAACCACATATTACCCCACCACGAGCGTTCCAGCACAACTGTGCACGGCAAGAGTGCATTTGTAACTCAACGTGCGCATCTGGGGCTGCCAGTAGCCTCAAGCATTTCGATATTTCTACTGTTTCGTCAAGGTGATAGACTCCTGGACCAAAAAGCACAGTTTCGCCAGACGCCACATTTGCCAATACTTTTGCCAAAGATGCTGACGACCCTGGGCCGCAGGCGCTTGCAGAAATTTTGACAAACAACGACTGGTGCTGTGCCGCGACATGCCAGCTGCGGCAAACCATCTGAACGCAGTAGCGTCCTGGGAACGGGTCCAACATCGATAGCACGCGAAGCAATACCGGTGGCGGCAAACCTTCGTATCCTCTCCCCCGCGCACTCTGAAACTGCTCGTTGGCAACCCGAACAGCAGGACAGTCCCACATAGCTTCACGCGTATCAGTGTTATAGTAAAACGGCTTACCAGTCTTTGCACACTTCATTAGCGTCCACGCTGCGCCTGTCAAAAGACGTTTGCGTTGTTCGAAAAGCACGTGCGCGCGCTCACGTCGATAAAGATCGGCGTAGTATTCCGTCATCTGCTCAGATCCAGCATCATCGCTGCAATCCATATGACCGACGATAAGTTCACCTTCTGCGATAAGTCGTGCCTCTTCCTCCCGTTTTTCCACCTCCGTTTGCTCTATATCTTCCAATAGCGTTGTTGTAGCAGGATTAACATCAATTCCAGCGAGCGCTGCAGCTTGCTGGGCTGGGGTGCATGCATACAAAGGATCCACGTCTTCTCGAAAGTGTAGCGCATAGCGATCCACTGAATTCAATGAGTCCTCGAATCCCTGAAGCGATCGAACGGATGCCTTCCAAGCTTGCAGCTTTTGCTCTTCGGCCGCGTCGCGGGCCCTCTCGCGGACCTCCTCACCGTGCTTTCCATTTTGATCGTTAGATTCTGGAACTTTCAAACGCTTCGTCGTCAAACTTCTTTGAACACTCAAGCTATCACGCTGCCGTTTCCGACTGCCAATCTCGTTCTCGTCGACAGTCTCACCCCGCTTCAAAGTATCGACATCGCACCCGCCCGATCTGTTCGCCGGCCGATCATAATCTTCTTCCGTTGTGTCTTCGTCAGCTCTAGTGTCGTCTTTACTCTCAACATCGTCGCCGTCACCCTTTTCACTCGCAGCAGTGCTCGCCGATACCGACGATGGGGTTGAAGGCCTCGAAGACATGTCCCCGACATGACTTGCACGGGGAGATGCGGCATTGCTGTCCGCTTCGTCGTCAAATTCACGTTGTTCTTGCAAATACTCTGCCCGCGCACCTTTCATTGCCACAACATCTTCCTCATCTTCTAACTGAGCCATAGTGTTTTCTACGGTATCAAGAGACATCACGTTGTTTTCGTCTATATCCTCGTCTGAACTCCCATCGTCAACTTCAGACTTATCATCGATACCCTCAGCCTCTTCACCTGAGCTGCCGACCATGAGCTCCCGTAGACTGGCCTTGGAGAAAAAGTCTGTGGTGAACTGCCCCTCCGACATCACCAGAAAGTCTAGATGTCGTTTCTGCTGTGCCTTACGAAGAATGTTTTCTTCTACCGTGTGCTCGCTCACAAGGCGATATATGTGCACATCACGTGTCTGACCGATGCGGTGAGCACGGTCTTGCGCCTGCGCATCCATAGCGGGATTCCAATCTGAGTCGTAAAATATCACGGCGTCCGCACCTGTAAGGTTTATTCCTAAGCCGCCACTTCGCGTGCTCAAGATGAAGCAAAAGATTTTCTCGTTGCGATTGAACCGCTCCATAAGCGTTTGCCGCTTCTCCACTTTCGTTGCACCATCCAAACGAAAGTATGTGTGGCCGTGCAAATTCAGAAACACTTCCAGGATGTTCAGCATCGAGCTCATTTGTGTAAAAATGAGGCATCTGTGGCCACCATGTTTCAAAGTACGCAAGAGCACTGCCAGTTGCTGAAGTTTACCACAATCAAATTGCACCAGCGCCTTGTCGGGAAAAAATAACTGCGTGCGCTTAAATGACTCGTGGTACGGTGCCAATATACGATGCGCTACGTCCCGGGCGTTGCTTGCTTCAAGTTTTTCAGCCTGGGCTTTGCGTGACAACACAAAGTTGGTGTCGTAAGCAAACCCACCACCTCCATAAATGACACGAGCAGGCTTTGCACGAGCCTTCGGCACGTAACAAATTGATTTATTCACTGTTGACTGCAACGACATCAGTCTTTCCTCGGGGCTACGAACCATAGCTTGCAGAGCCAGTGTCGGTTGACGAGAGCCGAGGAAAGGCCTGGCACGATGCATATGGACCTCCATCGCTGATGAGATGAATGTCGGCATCGTACAAACTCGGATAAGATCGCCTCCAAACACAGGTTCGTCCAGGTACAATCCAGAGCGGAGCTTCTGAAGCTGTGCAACACTTGCACGCTTATCCTCCCAATACTTCCGACGCTTGGCTGCTAGCCTAATGATTTGTTGGGCGATGTCGTTGTTTCCAACATATGCTGGCGGCACAGTCACAACAGTGTCATCCGGGAGCGGTGCACTAACGTCGTAGAAGAAAAGTTTCCTTCGTCGCTTTGAAGTGAACTTTTCGCCACGCAATACTTCCAGTCCGGGTAAATTACTCCCGGTCCAATGTGCCACGTGCGGGCGCTCGTTTACTATCTCAGCAACTAAGTAACCACAGCGTGACGGCACGCTCACACGAATGCTCGGCATATCTAATGGAGATGCGATCGGGCGTGGTTCGAACAAGTCCGGGTGATTACACACCTTACGTAGCTGCATGAGGACATTCATCATGCTCATAAAGTTTGCACCACGACCTTTCCCGCGGCCGAACATTGCGCGACGTGTACTGCTTCGGGAAATGAAGTCTTCGTACAAATATCGCTGTCGCTTTGACAACTGACATGTAATCACATGCTCAAATTTGCCCGGCAATTGCTTTTCCACGTCTTTCTTCAATCGACGCAAAACGAACGGCCGGATGATACCGTGCAGCTTTGTCACCAAGTCCTTTCCACCCTCGACGCCATTATCGCCCGATTGACCTGCATCACTACCGTTCTCCACCATCAGTGCTAACGGATTCTGAAACCAATAAGTAAACTCCTTGCGCGACGCGAATACATGCGGCATGAGGAAATGCATGAGAGCCCAGAGCTCTAGTAAATTATTCTGCAACGGCGTTCCTGTCAGCAACAAACGACGCTGCGAGCTGAATGTCAGCAACGTTTGCCATCGGAGACTTTTCCAATTCTTGATATTGTGCGCTTCGTCAAGAATCAGGTAATACCACTTCTTTCGCTTGAAGCAGTGTGCATCTTGAACCACGAGCTGGTAGCTAGTGATGCACACATGGAACGCATTCTGCTTCGACCATCCCTGTCGGAGCTCTTTGCGACGTTTGGCAGACCCGAAATACGTCAACACCTTGAACGCCGGGCACCAACGTTTGAACTCCATCTCCCAGTTCACAAGACAGCTCGTAGGTACCACAATCAGATGGGGTCCCCAAAGCCCTTGACTCCAAGCAAGATGCGCCAAAAGTGATATCGTCTGGATAGTTTTGCCAAGACCCATTTCGTCTGCGAGAATACCGTTTATACGTCGCTGACACATGCTGATAAGCCAATTCACACCAGCTTCTTGGTACTCCCGTAAATCTAACCTAGACGTCAGCAAGTAAGGTCGCTTGTACCCGCTCTTTCGTGCTGTCGCTGAAGCTTTATGTACAACTCCATTCAATCCAGCAGCACCATCGACATCTGCTTTCGCGCTGCCATCTTCCAGCTCCTCCTCCTCCTCGCCCTTCTGTCGATCCGTCTCTTCACTATGTTGTTGTTCGCTAAGTTCTTCAAGATCCATACCGTCATCATCACTCGAGTCTGCATACGACGCCGTCGCGTATCGAGCTCGGAGTTGTTCAATCGACATCTCGCTCTCTTCCTTCAACAGTCGTAGTTCCTCAGCACTGCCCGACGCACCACTCGCTCGCTCCAACTTCTCCTCCTCGTCAATCGTACTTTCATCCTCTGCTTCATTCTCCTCGTCGCGTCTCGTCACCACAAAGTCAGCGTCTCCGACCGTCTCCTCAAAGTCAGCGTCTCCGACCGCCTCGTCCCGACTCCCCTCCTTCCCTGCACCACGTCCTTCGTCGTCAGCGTCCACCTCTCCCTCCCGCACGTCCTCTCGTCCCTCTTGGAAACTCGCAGCTAATGCATCGGCGTACTTCTCCGTCTGCTCCACGAGCTGCTTCAGCTGCCTCTGCATTTGCCTCTGCTTGAGCTCTTCGGCCTCCAACTTCACTTTATACGCAATGATCTTGTCAATTTTGCTCCAAAACTTTTTCACTTCGCGTCCCACGCGCGCCGCAGTGCGCCGCCGCGCCACGTCGTCGCGCTTCTGCTGCCGCACGAGCCGCGCTTCTTGCCGGCTTACGTACGACACCAGCGCCTGGCCCAGCGCTTTGGCATTGCGCACGCGCCACTTGCGCTCTTGACTAAAGTCGGCGGCCATCCACTCCATCTCCTGCAGTAAGTAGTCGCGATGGCAGCGCCCGACGCGCCGGCCCGCAGCGTCGCAGTCGGGCAGCAGTTCCTTCATCAGGGGCTTGCCGAGGGTCAGGGCGTGCAACTGCTCCGCTAAAGTACGTTTCCGCGCCGCCAGCGCCGCTTCGAGCGCCGCGCGCTCGTCCGACGCGTCGGAAAGCGACTCGTAGGGCGCGACAGACGCCGTTTCGACGGCCGTTTCGACCACCGGCAGCTGCGCAGTTGACGCCGCGATTGGTGACGAGGCGGCGGAGCTGCGGGACGTCGCGCGGCGTCGCGCCTGTTTCAGTCGCGCGTTCGCCATAGCCGCCGAGCGCGGAATGGTCGGGCGGAAGGCGTGGTGGATGTGGGAAAGGGAAACTGTGAAACTTGATACTGGACCGTGACGCGCGGGGAGGTGGAGATTGGGAGATGTAATATTTGACAAGCGTGGAGCGGGCAGTGCGGGGTGGGGCGGGGTTTTTGACGGACGAGATCGATCGATCGATCGATTGATTGCATGATAAACGGTCAACGATACGAAAAACGACACAGCGACGTCGGGTACATGTAGATAGATGATCGAGCAGAGACTTGTAGATTGGTGATAGATATCTATGTGTATACATTGCATTGGGATCGTGTCCAGTGGGTCGACGTTTGCAGACGTCGAGAAGCACTATTGCTGTCGGGTCATAGATTGACTTGACATTGAGATTCGCCTGTCCGTGCCAGTTTGTTCGAGTGGCTTCTTTACTGCCAGCTATATGCTGCGAGGCACTAGTGGAGGTATGATGGATGAGGCTCACTGTACGCTGCCAATTCATTGGAAGTAGCTAATGACGATGGGGTCATCGAGGCAGCGTGGGCGGACACAATCTATGAGCAGTGGCTGGAAAAACACGCTCGGCATATGGCGTGTTGGCACAAAATTGACCATCATGTATAAGGTGTTGGCAAGCGATATGCTGAGTTCCTATGACGTGCGATCAGGCATTATTTGCGTGGCTTTTGCTGGCTTTTGGACGAGATTGTCACCGTGATACTGACTTCATTGCGCTTGATATGTGTCTACTGCGCATCGCTCTCACCACGACCTACTTTTCCGGCCCATGGCAGGTTCAGAGGACTTACCAGACGTGGACAGAACTTGTCAAACGCAGCTGGGAAATCGCGCAGACACTGGTTCGGCCACACGTTGTTTTATCATAATCGCTAACCTTTTATCACCACATTCCATGCCGGTTCTGCTACAAATTGAAAATATGAAAATTGGCGGCGAGCTCAACTAATTGGACGGATCTCTCTCTATCTGCTGCGTTGTATAACAAGTACTATAGTGGATCAAGCTGCATCTCAATCACGAAACAACAAAAGCTTGTTGACAAAGTATGCTAGCTGAGCTATCAAATTGTCAGAAGTGCGGCGGGAAAACGCACCGTGCGAAATGTAAATGGTCTCACCATTCAGGTCTTCGCGTACTGCAATTGTAGAGCTGCATGGCTTCGAGTTCATCCATCGTAGCCTTTGTTTACAGCAACGAGGTCTTGCAAGATGAAATGAGAGATAGAAGGTATGAGGTATATACGGGTACGCGTGCGCGTACGACCTACTATATCCGGCTTTGTTAGCCAACTTCCGGCGATGTGTAATCGAACCGCCCCTGTGCGGATGTCGATCCGCGTATCTCGCGGCCCCGGTGCCAGCACTTATCCAGTCGGCCACCGGGGTCGGAGCAAGCAAGATGTAACGAGGCCTAACAAGGTGAATACGTTATATGGACGTGCATGCAAAGTCCGCGACCTATGTACGCTACCAACGATCGTGGGCAATCAATCATTCGATATGAGAATATGGAAATGAGAGTCAAATCGCTTTACCGCACTCGGTCGCCGTCTTGGAGATACAACTTCACCTTTCTTAGAGCTGCATACTTGTGATGTTGGTAAGGCACTACCTATTTGACTTGTTATCAATCGTACGTACACTTGTAATTCATTAGTAGCGTTGATGTGCACCCATCCCTTCTTCCTCAACACGATTCTTAGCCATCTCGAATGCGCCTTCGAGCTTCTCGACTTCGGTGAAACGACAATGCGGACAAGTCAACATCAACTTCTAGTGGCAACAATCTCCCACAAGCTTCGGATGTGACAGCCGTATGGCTTTATTTAGGACATCGAAACGCTGCAGACACCATACAGGGAAGCGGCCCGCTTGCATAAGCACGATTTCGCAAGGACTAGCTTTGATGCGCATGTCATTTACATACGCAAACACGCTCACTCGAAAAGACTCTTCACCAACATCGTAATAGAAGGTATTGCTAACCTCCCTTGCGACGCCATTAGGGTCTTTCCGTACATAGTCAGCAGCTTCTGCCGCGAAAAACGCCGAAAGTGCTTTGTGGAAAGATTATTGCTAAGAAAACTGCATATCATAACGATGAATGCTGCTTGTTGCATCTTGCGTATCTCGTTTTCGGATACACTTGCAGTACTGTGGACACGCTTCGTTTTACTTACAAAAAGCGATCGACTTCTGCCTTTTGTTCCTTCGACGAGTCTACTGCACGCTTGCTAAGCATACTCTACCCTCTTTTCTAAGACGGACCATCTTATTGTTAGCATTATCAGCCACAAGCTCTGATCGTTGCTAACTGAAAAGTTGCGTGTCAATGGAAAGTCCGCAACGCAACGCATCACCACCGATTTCGCAGGTACTATACCTAGCTCTCTGAGTCGATCAATAGGCAAGTTGTCGCTACTGCTACAAAGTTCCGTGCAAGCAGATATGGAATGGCCCGACTGTAACTGGTTGTTCTGCGAGCAGAAAGCTCTCCACCAACTGAGACGTCGTGGTGGTCCCGCCTGACCATTGTGGTCCTACGTTAGACGTGACCACGATTGAACTGCCACTATTGTCACCTGTCCCAAGCCTATGATCTTATTGCCGTCTGTGTTCAGCCTACCGACATCTCTGACACGGAGAGAGGCGTCCGTATCCTTCACAAAACGTTAAGGAAGATGCTCTACCGATGACAAGCAATACAAACCTACAAACTAGAAATCAAACTATGTGCCGTCAATGGTTTCTCTCGCCAGCGCGTGGCTTATCCAAGTTTTCAACTTCTCACGCGCGTCACAAACAAAGTGACTCGTTGTCGTCTATCGTTAAGGTTTCGTGTCAGGTCGGACATTACTACTATAGACAACGAACGACCGTCCAAAGACTGACGGTGGGCTAAGATCATAAGTAGAAACGACGCGCTTTGCAGCTCTCGTTTGACATTACGTTGAACGAGCTCAATCGGCCTCAGCGATTCGACTGGCCTCGCATCGCAGAACGCCGATGGCGAACACTACACACAATCTGTCGAGCACACAATTCACAAGGCGCGACATGAGTAAACAAACACGCACGTAAAGGAGCTTCGTAGCTCACGACTGTCGTCACAAAGGTCGCACGAGCGACACGAGGTGCACTCGTATAGACGTGCAAAATCGTTTCATCGGGCATGATAAGAGCTAGAAGTTGGTATTGACCAAAGTTTTCTTGGCTGCTCGGAGCAGATGGAGAACATAAGGACATTACACGGACAAAACATGTGCACTGGTAGAGGAGTGGTAACCGAGAAAGTTTCTGGGGTCGTGCAGCGACTACTTGCTATCTATATGCCGCTCATGTCGAATCGAGGGCAATGTACGATCGAAGAGGCGCCAAGGCGGGACTCAAGCCAGGCGTGCGTGACGCTGGAATTAACATACCAACGAAAGCTCGTGGTCATACGTGTCAAGTCAAGACGCCAGCGCTCCTCGTATCGCGTGCGGAGAAGTAATGGAACAATATCAAGCTCTGTGAACTCTGACAATCAGCAGCTGCTTCAATTTTTATGCCCGGTAGGAGTTAACAACACCTGAGACTTTCGAGCACGCACTGAACATTAGGTCCGTCCTCCTGTCATCTCGCTCTTTACTCCATCTGCCTTCCCGGAAAGCACAAGTGGCATGTCGGGTAGCACCACGTAGACCAAAGCTGTCTTACGATACGACAAGAACTCTTTTGAAAGTCGCCAACTGCTCTCTGGTGTTAGTTACCGAGCAGCGTCTGCTAACTCCAGATAAACAGATAAACAGCAGCGACAGCAAACGACAGAGCACACGACAGAGCATACGACGGGTACGACGGGCTCGAGACAATTCAGCCACAGAGGCTCACAACCGAAATTCCTCCGTCACGTACATCCACGTGGTAAAGCAGCTTTAGCGAAGGAATGACTGGGACTTGTTGGGGCGTCCGTGGCACCGTCACGATGCAATCGCAGTCCGTCGACTCACCCACTCGACTCGAACAGGCAGTTCGCACAAGTGAGCAACTCAGAAAACCATCGACGCGGTCTTCTCGACGATCGTACGCGGTCGCGATGCAGCTAAAAGCCGATCAAGTGTCGCAGCGAGCGAAACGAGAGTCTCGGGATCTCTCGAAAGAAGTGCGTCTCGATCAACCGATGCACCCAAGTCGGCCGCAGCAGCCACCTCGACTATCGAAAGCTCATCGGCAGCGACAGGAGCGTCCACGCACGCATACTAAGCAGAGTCCGGAGCACTTGTTGACGCCGAGACGAGCGTTGCGGCTCTCGCAGCTGCATTCGCAGCCATTCGAGAAACCAATGCCGCTGTTGCCCAATGCGATTTGCCCGTCGCTCGAAGGTGCTTTGGACCAGAGCATTGGCGCTGAAACTATCGATGGCAGTCAAGGTCTGGTCGAGCTGTCGCCTGCTCGGCATCGAGAGATCATGTTGTGTGTGCACAACTCGCTCACGAATGTCAGGACTTCGAGGGTACCGGGTGATACGAGCCACGCGTCCTGGAAAGTCAAGTTGCACAAGAAGAATGTTGCGTACCATATTGACGAGACTAGCGCCACACCCGGGCAGACGAGATGCTGCTCAGTGGGCTACACGCATGCAAAGGTGGACGAGTTGGTGGACCTTTGTCTTCCAGCGGAGAAGGACGCGATGCTTCAGCACAACCAGATCCTTTTCGACAATGTCGTGAACGCAGACGTGTTCTCAACCCTTCGGGGTCCGACTGAAGAGCGGCCAGGGAGTTCCGTGTACGTGCGGCGCCTGAGTTTCCAGACTTCCAGACCTTGGCGGAGTCGCGAAACGTACGCGATTGTAGCCACCGATATCATGCCTCAATCGGACGGATCGACCGTCGGCTACTGTCTGTGGGAGGCTATTGACGATCGCGACATCGAAGAGGCTGTCAAGACTACCCGTCTTGAGCAGTCGACTTGCTTTCGCTCGGGATTCTACTTCCGACAGCCAGGACGAACCGAGTCAACGACTGAAGACTTGACCCAAGGTCAGACTGAGATCGTGTACATGGTCGGCGTCGGAAGCGGAGCCTGGTCCACTTCTCGGTTAGCTCTGGAAAAGCATGGATCAGGGATTCATCGTCTGTGCTCCCATTTCCGCAACAAGTACCTGGACCCGTCGACATTTGTCGTCGAGACGCAGCGGGGGTCCAAGTGTTCTGCCAAGAGCTGCAAGGGGTGTGCGAAGCGATTCCACTTGCTGTCGACCCGCGTGAACTGTCACGCTTGCGGCCACGTCGTGTGCCGATCGTGCGCTTCGAAGGAGTCAGATGCGCAGCACGTTTGCGTGGGCTGTCTCAAGAAGGCTGGTCTCCCTGTTCCTGCGTCGGTAAAGAAGACGCAGAGGAAAGACGAGAGGCAGAAACATGCGCCTTCGGCGACTACAACGGCACTTGGACAGTCTTCCATTGCGGTCGTTTACACCGACCTCTACGATAACGATGGCACAGACGCTGCAGAATGGGCCATCTCGACGGTAGGCGTTCCCGTCCAGCTTCTGCGAAAGGCAGTTTGTGTTTGATGCACCACTGCCAGCACCTGCAATGCAACGCCCAGCGCAACGAACGAAGTTGCGCTTTTAGATGTAGCCTGAGTAGATCTTGTCGATAGCGCAGCATCACCTGTCATCCCTCTTGTTGTGCATGTAAGTTGCGTGTACCTGTCGATAGCGTGTTAATGGACATTTATCCTTACTCGTATAGAGTTGCCAGTGTTGCGTTTAATGACTGAGAAGTAGCAGAAGTATAGTGGCTTATGTGTCCGTTGGAACGCACGCCTCATGCGACTGTAAGAATGGTCAGGAGGTTGTTATTGATGTCTTTTCCAGAGTACGCGTGGGAACGGGCAGCCAATTCGGGTGACTCAGTTGCTTAACGCGACGCTAGAAAGTGATTTGATCGCTCCTTGTCGTATGAATTCTCGCGTTGATCATACAAGTGCTATCTATCCATCTTTTGGCTTAGTTGAGTACATCCACCATGACCACGCTCGCTTGATGCCAACACACGCCACGATACCATTGTTTGCAGACGTTTCATTTAATCCTGCCATCTCGATGTGCACTCACGCCAAGATGAACGACTCCATCAGCCATCTTCTCTCTCCTATATTTACTGCAATGCCTGTCCCACGAGAATCAAGTTGACGCGATTGAATGGAAGTCTGACATGTCCAATGCATAGCGTTTGCGTTGTATACCTTTGTCATGTTTCTGGAGCTCTGCCGACTGCAGCGTGTAGACATGTGCATAGATTGCATACACGATCGAGGATAGTGTGCAAATTGCCTTTCACCGTTTTTCTAGCTTATCACGATATGCATTGCTCGATCACACGTGTACACGTGTACCGTGTAGACATGTTGCGTTTCTCGCCAGGTGTATGTAGTCAACAGGACAAGCGTACTGACGAGACTGTGTCCCTATCTCTAGTTGCGAGTCCTTGCGAGAAAATCCACAGAGCATTTGGTCACATGTGTCGAGCAGTCGTAAGTTCAGTCTGGTTTCCCCGACAGCCTTTTACTTTCTCGTCTGTTTGTTTAGCGATGCCTTTCAAACAGGCTTTGCAACAACAGAAGTCTCGTGTGAAAGTGACGAGCCGTTTGATGGCGTTCAGAGCCTGCCTACAGGCTCACCACTCGGTCTGTCCATTCAGACCAAATGGTGAGCCCATAAGCACTGCTTGAAGCTGGACTGAAGCTGGGCAGACCATGACCCTCCAGCCCCGTATGGCGATTCTGGATCTTTGCATGCAGCTTGTGCGCAATCCGTCGTCCACGCCCTCAGCTCGAGCTCCGAAACTGTTACCTAATCGCAGGTTGATGACGGACAATTGTTCCCTCACATCGGCTGCTGCCGAATTCGGACCACTGCTTTTGTCACATGCTCCAGCACTGCTGTATTACGGGCGCAACGCTTTCACTCCGCGACTGCCTTCTTATTGCATGCAAAACTAGTAAATGGTGCCGCCATCTTATGTGGAAACTTTGACTACTACGCCGTAACAGTGCTGGCTATCCCGACCACTTTCCATCCTGCCTTTTCTTTCGCCGGCCATGGGCGGAACGCGGGCTAAGTCACTTTGACACCTCTACTGCTCGATGTCGCGACGACAAAATCCCTTTTCATGCTTTGAAGCAAACGTATCGACGCGCGCGTGTGTGTGTTTTTGTATCGTCAAAGCTTTGGACCACATGCATCAAGTGCATAAAGACGACCAACGAAGAGTTCCGTCTCTTCGTAGAACGCACAATGCATGTGAAGAGCTGATTGCTACTGCGTATCGTCATCGCCTTCTCGTTCGGAAATATGTCTATACGACTCGACGACTACTGCAGAGCAACGCTACGGTAGCGTCAACGATTGCATGGTCCATCGAAGTCGCGTTGTTGCTGCGCGCAGCATTTCTGCCGCATCTTTCGGATTACAATGCCCGGATGAGCCCTCGTTCCCAGACTTCACACGGTCAAAATTCGAAATGGTTCTCACAACGAGACTCATTGCCTCCGTAGGGACCGCCCATGTTGGGCTTCGTCGTTCCATTTGCGTGTGACTCACGCGTCTGATGGCAACGGAAGAGTACGCGGCGGCAGGTTGAAGTCGCGACTACACAGCATACCGATCGGCTCAGAAAGACGCAGACAATGTCGCTCAGTCGACAAGTGTTCTGCATTGTGTTGTAACGGTGTCCCTTGGCTCTGCGATACGGCATTGCAAGTACAGCCCATGATGAAGCGTACCGTCTAGTTGTTCCCTTCTTGACATTCTGTCTACTCCGCTTATATTCCATTCGACGCACTGCCATCCGAAAGCCCTGAGGCCGTGACCACAAGCTCACGCTTTATCCTACGCTCTGCACTCGATGGTATTGTTGACTGTACTTGCATTCCATCTCAGTCTCTGAGCGCTTTCATACACGCGCGAGCTGCTTACCCAGTGAGAAGCATGGTCCATTCCACACAATGTGTACCGACTTGTCTTTGCGCCAGCTCGCTTGTTTCTTCATTGGCAGACGCGCAAGCAACATGATGACTGCAAGTGCACCGTAGGGCTGCGGGACCAGGTGGTGTATTCAATGAGCAGCCCATGTCGGATGGTTGTGAGCGGCCATCTGTATTTCGAGGCGGACTAGTCGTTGTGGAGAAGCAGAGCTTCTCTAGAATGACTGAAGGGAATAGCTGGAGGTCAAACAGCATGCGTCGCTGCTGCTCCTGTATGTCAATACTGGCTAGCGTGCACAAGTATCTTGGACCGGAATGTTATGGTGTCGGGTCTCGCACGAGGTGGTGATGAGTACGTCAAGGCGCACTCAACAGCTACTGGACAGCCCTAACTGTTGCCACGAGGTCAGCTCGTTGGCACAATCCTCTCGATCGTTTTAATACATAAAGCGATTGACGATGTGCTATATGACAGTCGACGGCGTAGATTCCCCTGCTTATTTCTGCACAAAGAGCTCCTGAGAGCACTCGCCAATCGGCTGGTCGTGTGCCAGAGAGAGAGAGCCGGGGAAGGGCGGACATGCAGCTCGTGTGGCAGCAGTGCGAGTGTCGGGAATCCATCCGTCCAATGCTCGACAGCAGACGGACAGAGCGAGTTCGATAGGCCAGCAATGTGACGGCGTATCAGACGAAGCACTGAAACTGGCCGAGAATTAGCAGTGTGTCGAGGCGGCGATGAGAGGCGCCGACTGAATGGCTCGATGTTCTCCCCCGTACTGCATGCGTCTCGCCTCGTTGTGTGGTGATAGGCGCACCGTTTACCAATTGAGCCGCAAATCAAAGAGAGCGCTCGACGATTGATATGTAAAAGTGCCTCCTGCGACCACAACTACGACCGCAACATGCAAAAGACAAGTAAAAGGCCACATATTGAGCATTAAAATCAGCAGCAAACCGCGAGCGATCACCCACTCGACAACCGCCTAACGGTCTCCAACGAATTCAAGAAGCAGTAAAGCAGTCGACAAAGTGCACAGGTGCAGGAGGGGCACCTGACTGACTGACGTCCAGTTGCAAGCAACGAAGACAACACCCAAACTCGCTCGTTCGTAGCATATACATGTGGTCCTGTGTCACACGTCGTCCTCCTCCTCGTGCCGGTGCTGTGGCTGCAGCTGTCGTCGGCCTCTCTTGACGCTTCCGAGGCGGCTGGACAGGTCAGCCCATCCGCCAGCGATCTGCGACACGGATCGGCCCTGCGGTTCAGCCGCAAATCCCCACACGCATCTGCCTAAATCCCACCCCCCACTGCTCACTGCTTACTGCTCACTGCCCACTGCACAGCGCCACTTCTCCTCTTGAGACCCTGTGCAGACCATGTCGCACGTGCTCACCGACGGACCGTCTTGGGGCGCCAGTAGCAGCGCGAAACTCGTGTCGCGTTCGCCCGGCAGCCCGACACGTAAGACGACCTCAAGTGCGTTCGAGCACACGCTTCGACTGCCTTTTGAACCGCAGTTCCGGACGATGGAGTCGGCCGAAGAAGAGTCTGCAACGCGACCTCTGGACGAAACCATTCGCCCGCGACTCGACACCCGACAGTCCCGACACTCGACACGACCGCACGAGTCGTATCGACACACCCACCCGCCTCGAAGGGCCCACCCGCCGGCCGAAGACCGGGGAACGGGGCACCACCAGCAGCCGCAATTGCCTGTCCAGCCGCAGCGCTGGTCGCAAGACCGTCTTCGGGCGTCGCCGAGGGTTCCCGACCAACTAGAAGATCCGAGACGGCAATCTTCGGGGCCGTTTCCGCGGTCGCCTCGAACGGGTTCGCTAAACCACCGGATGGGGAAGTGCCGAAAGCCCGAAACGCCGTTTTCGAGAACGACTTCCAGCAAAGGCGACGACGGCCATCGCCAGTCGATACCGCGTCCACGATCGAGTGCCACCGGTGGACAGGAGAGGACGTCTTCGTCTTTGGGGGTCAATGGGAATCCGAAGCCGTCGCAACCCGTTCCGAACTGTCGGTCAGACGGTCCGAAGGAGCTGTCTTCGCAGTTGCCAGTGGAATCCGAAGGGCTTCGGCGCTATACGCGTGCGCACACGGGGAGTCTGAGCAGCAGCAGCAACAGCAGTGACAAGTACATTGAGCTCTCGCCCGTGCGTCGTCGGGAGATCATCTCGCGCGTGAACGAGTCCGTGCAGCACGTGATGGCGTCCATGCTCTCGGATACAGTCAACCAGTCGCAGTGGAAGTTTAAGCTGCAGAAGAAGGACATTTCGTACTACACGGACGAGACGAGTGTCAAGCCGGGGCAGAAGCGCTTCTGCTGCGTGAGCCACTCGCACGCGTCGGTAGAAGACCTGATGAAGCTCTTTGTCGCGACGGATTCCGAGAACATGGCACGGAACTATCGCGTGGTGTCGGACAATCTGCACGAGGCGCGTATCCTGTCCATCCTGCGTCGCCCCACACCGCAGCAACCGATGCACTCCATGTTTATCAACTACTCGAGTTACCACACGCCGGCGCTGATGGTGGACCGCGAAACGTGCGTTGCGGTGGGCACAGATATCATTTATCAACCGGACGGGTCCGTTGTTGGCTATTGCCTCTGGGACACTGTCGACGGCCCCGAGTTTGCCGAAGCGACGCACAAGTTCGAGTCGGCGATCATGTTCCGGTCGGGTTTCTTCTTCCGACGCGCAGGGCCTCGTCAGTCGTCGTCGAGTGGCGACTCGGATCAATGCTGTACGAAGATTGTGCACCTCGTGGGGTTAGAGCCCGGGGGGTGGGCGCCAGGCGTCACGGCGCGACGTCTGATGGAGAAGTTTGGCCTGAGCGTCAGTCGCCTCTGCGCGCACTTTCGGCGCAAACAATTGGACTCGCGCACGTTCGTGTTGAAGGCCCAGTGGCCGTCCAAGTACTCGGTCAGGAGCTGTCGGCACTGCGAGAAACCGTTTCCCGTGTTGTCGACGCGCACCAACTGTCACGCGTGTGGCCACGTCGTGTGCAAAGTGTGTGTGTCCAAAGAGCTCGTCGAGCTGCCTGCAGTGGGGCTCGTGCCCATGCACATTTGCTACGCGTGTCTCGAGAAGAACGGCCTCCCGCCTCCACTCGCGGTGCAGAGACCGTGGGCAGGAACCTACCAACGAAGACGGCTGCAGTCGGATACCACCAGTATGGCCCAAGTTGCAGTGCTGCAGCCACAGCACTCCCAGTCGCAGCCTCCGCCGTATCAGCAGTCGACGTCGGCAGTCGACTGCGATTTGACTGGAGGCGAAGACGAGGACTCGGACACCGACACGGACACGGGCGAGTGGGCGTTCACGCTCTCGGGCGTCCCAGTGCGACCATTTCGAATGGTATTGTGAGCACCACCACCACCACCAACAACATCAACAGCAATAACAGTACTAACAACAACAGTAACAGCAACAAATACAGCAGCAACAGCATTGACAACAAAGGTGGAAAGCGTTGATGTAATGAGTCTGCAGGTCTGATTCACGAAGAGCGCTAATGGTTGCGAAGAGTTTAGTGCATGAAGAACCTTTTGACGTGTTGTTATAGCGGTCAGCAAAGAGCGACTTACTCATTAGCACTTGAACGTCAACTGTATCTGCCGTCACATGTAGATGTTCTGCTACTTTGACGCCCCTGTCGTCCCGTTCTTTGGAAAGATGTCTTTGTACTGCAAGAGGTTCTCCTTGAAGCTCAGTGGTTTGCGACCAGTGAGGCGCTCGACCGTATCCGTCACGTCTCTCATCGACCCGTTCGCCAACGTCTCACCACAGCACAGGAGGTCATCGATGCACAGCTTCACGGGAAGACCGGCAAAGTCGCCGTCGGCGTCCGTGGGGAGCCCGCGCTCGAGCCAGTAGGCGCGTAGCTCTGCGTCCGGCATGTCCACGAACTGGCCGTTGTATCCGCTGAGAGCGTTCATCCAGTCAAACACTTGACGGTCCGTCACGGCTTCGGGACCTGTGACGCTCACGACCGTATTCTCCGTCTGCTTTCCGAGCAGAAGCGCTCCGAAGACCCGACCGCAGTCTTCGGTCGCCACGTACGCGCCCGGTACATTGTGACTGTTCGAGAGCCACTGGTCGCCGGTAAAGGGCCACGCGCGGGCAAACAAGCGCGGCGTGTTGTCCTGGTAGAGCCAATTGCGCTGGATATTGTACGCGAGCCCCGACGCCACGATGAGCTGCTCGGTGAACTGGTGATCCCGAGGCAGGAACGGCAGCTGGTCGTTGGGTTGGGCCGAACCGGCGCCAACGAATGACGTGTAGCACACGCGCTGGACGCCCGCGGCCTTTGCAGCGGTAATGCAGTTGGCCATCTGACCTCGACGTCGGTCGCCAATGAGCCACGTCGAGACGAACGCAACAGCAGCTGCGTCCTGGAAAACGCGCGCGAGACTGTCGACGTCTTCGTAGTCGGCTTGTGCGACGATCGCACCTTTTTGTGTCCACGCGGCCACGCGGGACGGCGCGAGTGTCGAGACGTTGGAACTCGTGAGGACTAACGTGTCGTCGGGTCTCTTGTGTGCGACTGCATAGTCCGCTGCGTGGCCCCCGAGTTGGCCACCGACACCTGTGAGCACGTATTTGACCATTCTGTCGCTATACTATGAAATGACCTTTTGGGCTCGGAATCGACAATGAAGTGCGTGTTACGTGGGCCACGACGACAGACGTGTCAAGGTGGGAGCTACGAGGGACTCGCTCGACACGCTATTGTTCGATTGCGAGCGGACGATAGAGAGCATTTGCGTGTGTATATGTATTATATGTATATTTGTAGGGACAGTGAGAGGCGACGACCTCGAGACAAAGTGACGACTGGTCGCTGGACGCGTCGACCCGACTCTCAGTGTGTACAACAACAAGACGGCGTTCGGTTGCGACTGTTTGTTTGTTTGTTTGTTTTCTCTCAAGCGCTTTTATATGGACTCTTCGATCCTTTGGTACCTTTTCGACGTAAGTGATCACTCGGGGAATCGACTGCTCACACGTGAGACGTCGGGAGACGACCGTCTGCACAGCAGAGTGATTAGTTCGGCATTCTCGACTTTGCACCTCTTTTGTTGTTGCCGCAACGGGTGTACCTGCTGGTGGTGCGTATCCACCAGTGCCTTTTCTTTTCATCCACGCAGCGACATTCGCCATCACGGGTGACAAGCAGCTGCTTTTGGCGATTGTTCTGTGGAACTGTCGTGTCGTGCTGCGGTAACAGGTGCGACACGAATCCGGAGGGTGTCACAGTTTCAACAGCATCGAGCCAGAAGATCGCGGCCACACGTCAGGCGGTACTTCTTGCGCCTAAAGAGCCAGAAGATCGCGGCCACACGTCAGCGGTACTTCTTGCACGCTGTTCTATATCGCCAGAGCGGTCACGAGTCGACTGACTGTTTTCGTTGTGTGAAGGAGCGAGGCGCTGCATGCACTTTTGTTGACTACACGACTATGCTTTCGACGGAAAGGGGTTCGTGACGACGCTTGCTTGTCGGACAGCAAAACGAATTTGTCATGAGGTCTTGCTTGCCATCTCAGTGTAGTCATGTATTGAGACCTTGTACAAATGGCGTTGAAAAGAACTACAGCGCTACTGGGCTCATACTCCGCATGCTTACGCAGTTTAGTAGTCGTTGTCTGGCGATGCTGCCTACCGCTGCATGGCACTGAGTGTTCAATGTTCGTGTGCCACGACACCAGAGAGGATCGTCTCGTTCTCAGTAGCAGACTGAAGGCGTTATGATATGATACAGTATGCTTGCAATTTGTAGCTTTTCACGAATGCTATTGCAAAATATAAGATTTTAAGAGGACAAGGTTAGACGATCAGCCTTTTTACGTGGCACCAGAATATAAAGAGCTCGCTTCGTACATGATTCCTCGTAGCACATCTTCTTGTTGGCAAAGAGCACTTCCGCTAGGTAACTTACGAGATAGGAAGACCGACCAAACTGGTGGAAGGCGCTAATGTACCGATACCGGATACATACGCAGACCTCGATACAGCAGCTACGTGTAAAGTGTAGCTATCAAGCTTGAGCTTACGTGCAGCCATCCTTTGCTCATACTCACTTGCGTCAGGTTGTCCTCGCTTGAGTCCAACCACCGACGCGGTCTTTTCTGCGCATCATCCGCATCATCATTGTGGATCTCGATGTGTATGTGGAAAATTGCGATGCAAGACCTGTGAAGGCAAGCCGTCTTGCAAAAATGGGTACGATCGTCGACTCAAACGATGGACGCTGCCGCCACTACTTCGATTTATAGTACATCTAGAGTAGCGTCAGAGTCGCTTAAACATTGCGCCGATTGAGCATCACCGCCAATTCACACATCGACGCAATGTAAGTAGCATGGTGTGATGTCTCCGGTTAATAAGCTCGTGATGACATGACGGAGATTAACGGAGATGACGATATGGGTAGTCGGCCGCGATCTAAGATTTTGTCGTGCATGTTTCGCGCCGTGTGGCTCTTTTACTAGCAGCCCTCGCAGACACACTTGATGTGAAGTTGGCTATGGTACGATATCTGCAAATTGACGTCCTCTCAGTGCCGTATCGCGATAGGGCAGAATATATAACGCCGTAGCGTAAGATGAGCAAGGTTGCTGCGCCAGATGACCCATCCAAGTCGACAGCTTCAACTTCTACTCAAGCCTGTCACCTGTCTCCACATACATCGCCAATCTGCATCGTGCTTGATAATAGAAGGTGTCAACCAGCACTGTTAGGCAAACATGTGATCTCCAAGCAAGTCGAATGTCCAGTATGTAATTATGTGCTCACTTGCAGGGAATCCGTGTTAAGAATTGATCAGGGCAAAATCATGATAGTTGAAAATGGCTAACAATGCCACAGCATAATGCTACTTGCGACATGTAGTGATCGAGAGGCACACTTATTCCTCGTTTTGTGTCTGGTCATTCCCTACAAAGTCAGCGCGCAAGTCTAGATACCATTTTCTGCACCGACCAAAGTCGAGCAACGAGTAGCTCAAGCCACACGAAACGGAATGGTTAAGCTGCATCGCATCTTGTGTGCACTCAAAAGCCACGGTCTGTTGCACGAAAAGTCGTTATCTTGGTCTAACTACATCATCAAATTTCTCGATTTAAATACAAAATATGACCATTTCTTCCAACAAAAGCCGACCGGTACCTGTCTATGATCATAGCAATTGCAACCATCGCAGTTTACAACCCCCCGACGCAATCGTTGAAAATCCACTTTAAAACAAACTGCTTTTTAGCCAGCGGCCCACGAAAAAGCAGTCCTTTCGCCAGCTCTTTCTCTCTACTGTTGTTTGTCTACCCCTCGCGCAGCATGTTCCAGTCCGAAGCCTTCTGCTCCGACCGCGGGCTCGGGAAAGTGGCGCTCGCGGCCTTCGGACTCGGCGTCTTCATGGCGTCCCACGTGTGCGTACTACTGTACGCGTCTTTCGTGGCCCTGGGCGACCCACTGCTCGACACGACAGCTGTTTCGCGCTGGCGGTGCCTCGAACAGTGGAGTTTCTACGCACTGGCGCTCGGGTTCTTCCACCTGATGGAGTTCCTATTGACAGCTGCGTATCGACCGACGATTGTCAGCTACGAATGTATGTGACTTTGACACGGCCACTTGTCGTACTGCAGCGGCACTTTTTTTTAGAAGCGACAACGTGACGACAGTGTGGTTCTCTGTGTTCTATTTACTTACTAACGCACGTCTACTTGTGTGTGTATGTATGTACTGCTATTGCTGTTGCTGTTGCTGTTGTTGTTGTTGTTGATGATTTATTTTGGCGTCTGACGCTTATTGGTTCGACGGTAGCGTTTTTGCTGAACCATAGTCGGGAGTACCACTTGGCAGTCCTACTGAGCTGCGTCGAGTTCTGGCTCGAGTGGTGTTTCGTGCCTGGGTGGAAGTTGCATCCTTTCGTGCGTCCTGTGGGACTGACACTGGTCGTCATCGGTCAGTTCTTCCGCGTGGCGGCAATGAGCACTGCGGCCAACAACTTTTCGCACCGAATTGAGTATTTCAAGCGGAAAGAGCACGAGCTAGTGACAAATGGCGTGTATCGCTTCATTCGTCACCCGAGCTACTTGGGCTGGTTCTGGTGGATCGTCGGCAGTCAGATCTTGCTGGCGAATCCGCTGTGTGCAGTAGGCTACACTTTTGTGGCCTGGAGCTTTTTCCACGACCGCATTCCGTACGTTGTTCGATGTTCGTCACTTTGTCAGAGAAAGCGCTGAGGTCACTTGTTGCCACCATGTTTTGGTTGCTGTTGTTGCTGGTGCTAGGTATGAGGAGCGATTACTACTTGGGTTCTTTCCGGATGAGTATCCAGCGTACAAGGCACGTACGTTCAGTGGTATCCCGTTTGTGGGGGAAAGCGCTGTGCACTGTTGCAAAGTCTCATGAGAAAAGGAGGAGCAGTAACTTGGTACAGGATAGAAACACATTGTAGGCGAGGACAAGTGGCTTACCAGCTTCACTAGCTGTACTCGATGACTTTGTCCTACTTCTTTTTCTTGCGCTTCGATGCATTCGATTTCGACTGTCGAGATGGCAGCGTCGATGACGTCGTCGCTCGTGGCAATGGCAGGCCTGTTTGCACTGTGCACACATTCGCAGATGTTAGCACACTGCCATTCACTTTGTCCAGAGAAAGCGTCAAGTCCGTACCGTAATTGCTATCAATGTTACCCATTATCCCCTGGGCACTCCACTGCGAGTACATAGTACTGAGTCTCGGTGAGTCACTGTACTCCAGGTCAGCCACGAGTCGCGTTTTCCGCAGCACTTCGTGCTCAAACATTGCCAGCACCGTCTCCATCCACTCCTGCAGCTGCAAGGGAAAAGCCACTGCTGCTAGTTGGTCGTCCTCGCTGACAGCAGTTTCGTCCTCAATGAGTGCGTCATCCACGAGCGTCACGCACTCACTCGCAAAGGACCGAAGATGACGCAGTAGCTCTTGGTAGTCCCGCATGATATCAGTCAAGAACTCTCGACTCTTTTCCAGCGCCAGAAAGTGTTTCTGCAGCAACAGAGTCGGCGTCTCACGGACGTCACGCAACACGCCCATCACGTCCGACACGTCGTCATCGACGGTATCGCTGCCTTGTCCGTGAGTCGCATTACCCGATTGTAGTAGAATCGGTAGTCGCTGACTCAAATTGGCAAGCGACGAGAGCACTTGGGACCCTTCCGACTCGAGCTTTGAACTGCGAGCTGTCTGTACCATTCATTTTGCAGATTTCGTTTAGCGACTCGGAAAAGAAGAAGAGAAAACGCACATGTAACGAGGATGTGTAATAAGAGGCTTGAGATCGAGTCGTGTTAGGGCAACGAAAGTGAGTGGCGTCGGACCTCGGCGACGAAGAGCTTGTGCAGCTTGAGACACTTTTGTAGCGTTGTTTTCGCCATTTGATTAGAGAGTTAGGATCGAAGAGGACGATGAGTTGGTGTTTCTTTGGTTCGGGTATTAGTTCTGCGGTCTCCTGACCCGATTTAAAGGCACGTTGTTACATCAAGTGAAGGAGAAAAACACCGAAAATGACCGAAAGGCACGTCCGTCCTTCGTGTTTCGTTTGAGATTAAGAGAGAGGTTTAATGAGAAACCAAAGGCATACCTCATTGTGCGCGCGAGACCCGCTTTTGTTTGCATCGCAGACAGAGCACGTTGAGATATGGCTACTTTGACCTATCGTCTAGATCAATCTACGCATTGACTATCTACGACGAAGTCATGAATGCAAGACTATACAGATAAAATCTTGTATGCATGTTTGGCGTTAGTGCTTTGGTACGGCCAAACGAATCGAGCACGATCTGGCTCACTCTGTCCTGCGTGGAGCTACGAACCAATTAAGACGGGTTAAAACTCGACCTTCGTCACCGCATAATGGATCTTCTCTTATCCTCATGCTCGAGAACGCCTTCGGTGTGCAAAGTCTCATTCCAATAAGATGCGCTCTCTCCACCATATGCCTATCGTCGAGTGAGATGGATGGTAGAAACGTCTTTTGAGAGACGCCAGCTACCAGCAGTAGTCCAGACTCTTGAGATGGCAAGATTGAAGATACTCGAGAAGTTTTTTTTAGAAAAAAACAAGCACGACATGGGTCAATGAAAAGATGACGGTACACGTTAATGGCATTTCGATGGTGTCGAAGTCGATCGGGTCGCGTACGATATCAATGAAGCTTGCGTCTTCCGACTCACGGCCGGAAGAATCATCTTGTTAGCCATCACCACCACCAAGTTAGAGCTCACGCACTCTGGGGCTACTTCATGACCGTTAGGTTTGCTAGGAACGAGTCGTAAATGATGGCAAGATATAGGTAAACGTAGGACAAAGTAATTACACTGTCTAACTATATCACTCTGGTTTTGTGCCCACACTTAACCGCACGGTGGTGTCATGATGCACTTGATGACGGATGATGAATGACGTTGGTACTGATACTATTGCGACATCAAACGAAAGAGCTTTGTATGATCATATTGATACACAAAGCATGATTCCCGCTTGGACATGATGTTAAATCTTGTGAAATTTGTTCCGTCTATCAAACAGTAATTTCGTTCGACGTCAAGTGTAGACGACGAAGAAAGCCAAACAGTGCATCGAAATGAGTGAAAGGGGAATACAGTAGAACTCCTCGTAGCCACTACAATTGAGCAAATGAAAAAATAAGAGGCAGTAAGGGATATCAGGTATGACCGCTGGGTAGTCACGTGATCTACCTCTCTTGCTTCGTTCATGTCGAGCCGGAAATTATTGATGACCACAAGAAATTATTCGCTAATAAGGGATTAGCTAAGCGGTGTTCTACTGCAGTTGTAGCGATTCTATATTTTCACTAACATTAACGCCTACGCATTTTGTTTCGTTGGTGCAATGTGGCAGACGTTCAGTTTTAGTTTAATTGATGCGCCGTCATGTTCCCGTGTAGGTCAAACATACAATGTTTACGTATATCCAACCTCAGGCCTACTCTTGGTAAGTGATGACTCTCCTGCTATACGAGAACGCTGCAGGCCCAACTACATCGCAATTTCATCATGGCTATGTGAGAATGTGTCTGGGTCAAGGCATATCATAGTTTGCAGAATGTGCTCTACTAAAGTACGTTTGTGAACTCGGCACGCCATTAGGAGCAGACTCGAGCTGCTTGACCATGTTTGGCTATTCTTTTCGTGCAACCCGTACTTGACATGGGCGATGGCAACAGTATGGATGGAGATTGTGCTCTTCGGACGAGCAACTCGTATGCTGCTGGTCAATACATTGCTTACACAAAGATGATAGGTATAGTCTCAAGTTTCTGTGACTTGGCTGAACGGATGCAGCTTGGACGAGTTGGCTGCACGACCACAAGTGTCTTATCGACCAAAGAGACGAGCGACAGCACTCCGTCCTGAGTCGTCGATACACATAATGGGCGTTGCTGGTGCATGGACTAAGTCAAGCCTTGCTGTCAGCTCCATCTACGGAAAATCCATGCGTGCTCGTCCTCGAAGTCAACGCACAGCGTTTCATCATTCGTCGCCTTGTACCAACAACGAGACGTCCTCGATAGTGCCCCGATACGATAGTAGATCTGACTACGATCCCCTCGCATTGAGGCTTTACAGATACGTACGAATCCATTTTTATTCGCGGCATGGCCATGTACAGTACTTTTGGGTTTGTCCTATCTCTCAGGTACTTAGCCTCCTCATGCCATCCATGAACAGGCGTCATGGTCAAAGTGGCCCCCGATGTGTAATCCGCGCACATCATCTGCAGAGACATTGACGACGGTCAGAACTTTTCATCACGACTTGTTTGAGATGCGGCTATCATGACGGCAACGTTTGCAACAAAGACCGACCTATCCATAGTCATTACTCTCGTCAGACTATCCAGAGCTACGCGTCATTTGCCATAGAGCGGTAGCTGCAGGTCGCACAACTGCCCCAAGTTTGAACAAAGTCAGTGAAGACCTGGACAAGGCATACAAGAGTAGAATGGTTCCAGCTGCAATGTACACTTCGTTACTCTTGTGCATGTTTAGCGCATGTTGTCAAGGACACGTCGTCTTGGCCTTACTGTTCCAGTTGAAACGAAACGCACTCACTGCACGAGTGCATCATACATTGTCCTGCTACTCGTCGGTAGATGAGTAATAACGTGGCGTCACCAAGTTGTAGCCCATAGTAGTGGTCCGTCTCGAGCGTTTATCGTTGACGCCGTAGAGTACAGGAGACCGCTGAAATAATGGATAGGAAGACGTGGCGGTCGACTATGGACAAACGACCGCTTTGCGAGCAACAGTTGCGTCATGACCAGAAGACAGGACCACAATTCAACGTCGAACGAGCTCGTAAGAAACTGCGCGAAAGCACTCAAACCGGCAGTTTGTCATTCGGTGAGTGCAGTGCAATGCAGACGCGTCAACATATTTATCGACCTTCAGCGCTGGTGTTGCTGCTGTTTGTTGGCCTGTTAGCCCTTGCAGCACTTCAACCCGTCACTTCATCCGCCCGATGTTTTGCAAAGCCAAGAGAGCCAACGCCTGCTGTTGAGCCATTCGACAAACCGGAGGTCTCAGATGACGTCCCTGTTCCTGATGAGACGGTGGAAGATGGTCAGCCGAGCGAGGGCAGTAAAGCTGACGTCCAGAGCCCGACTTCCGACATATCGACTGGCAGCGATGCGTCGACTCCGCCTTTGTCGGCCGAAGACCACGCGACGTTCGGCGACATCGTCTCCGGCGACGACAAATGTGTCATTGGCAATCCGAGTACTTATGTCACGCGCGAGGACGTGGACTGGGTGTGGAAACACACCATGGAGAAGTACGTGCCGCAGTTCACGAACCTGGCCTTCGACCAGCTCGTGACCAACAACGGGTCGCTTAGCTACTGCGTTCGGTGGGACAACGACAAGAAGCTGACCAAAGCCGTCGCGTCCAAGTTCCAGGCCATGCTGGAGAAGCAGCTCAACTTGTGGCACCGTTGGCTCGTCGGGTACAACTGCTGGCCGATTGACAAGATCGACGTGACGATCGTGGGCTACGCCGTCCGTGATAAGGCCATTATGGACTGGAGCGACGACTCGCTGGGCACGATCTACGAAGGCGTTTTGGATGCTGAAGGCAGTCCCATGTGTCCGGACGAATGCTACAAGCACAAAGGGCAGGCGGCTAGCGCCGATACGAGTGCGTGCAAAGCTGAGCCCTTTGACATGTCGTTTTGGCCGTCGACGAAACCGGGTGAGAATGCGATTGGCACTGGTGGCGACTGGGGCCAGCGCGTGGAGGTGAACGATATGCTCGCGAATATGGAGAACGACCACATGATAGTGTTGCTGCATGAAATCGGTCACAGCTTTGGTCTGCCGGAAATGTACGAAGGAAAAAACAAACCCAGCACCTTTCCTGTCTGCGTCATGGACGCCCACGACGAGGTCACGGACGGAGATGGCTGGTTGCTGCGAAGCATTCTGGAGAACATCAAGTCTCGCTACGACTTTTAAGCTGTACATTTGTTTGGCTTTGGCTTTGTGCGGTATAGCTGCGTGAGATAGATGCGTTTCATCATTTCTGGGATCGACGTTCCTTTCCGTTGGCATCGAAGTTTAGTATCGTGTTTTGCTCTCGTTTGTCTCAAAGTGCTTGTGCTCAGCAGTTTATTGGTCTACGTCGACCAGCAGATGATCAGCTTATCGCAAAACGTAAAGCCTACGACAGCAATATACCTTTTCGTGCGTCAGCAACGGTGGACATGTCGATGGAAATGGCAGTGACGTGCATTGGTACGCAGTAGATGGACCTCTGACTCTTGCGCGGTGCACGGGATGACCGAACCTGTCCAGCGAACGTCTTTACTTGTACAAATTCACTCGTCCCCGTTTATTTTGCAGCAGCTTAATAGTGTTTACGCGCGTTCCGACGAAGTTCAGCTTTTTGTAGATACCGCATGTCGCTTTACTCGACCTGCTCGCGAGTCTGCTCACTTGTCGAGTCATCTTTCACGTCGAGCACTGACTCTTGCTGCTCTTTCATGTCACAGCTGATACCTTCTTCTTCAGCATCATGACCCTTCTCACTCCCTCCGTCAGCGTCCGTTTCCTGCTGCAAATCTTCTCCTTCTGCTGACTTTTCTTCAGTTTGCTCGATTTCGCATCGGTCTGCGGTCTCACAATAGTCGCAATCGTCTCGAGTCGTAGCTTCATCAGACGCATCGACACATTCACTTTTTATATCCTGTGCACTCGACGCGGCATTTCTTGCGTCAATGTTCGAGATGTCTTCACTGATCTGTCGATCTGCAGCTGCGCGCTCTGCATCTGAACAGGTAACGACAGCTTCAACAGTCAGTATCTCTACACACTCTGCCTCCTCGTTGCCGTCCGCGTCCTCTATCCCATCGATGGCTTCGACCAACACTTGGCGCTCTATGTTTGCACATTTCTCTACATCATCTGTCGCAACTACAACGTCGATCACATCCAGCAGTTGTGGCTCTCCGCCGCTGCGCGTCAGCTCCTCATCTTGCTCACATACCCCATCAAACGTAGGTCCACTCTTTCTGTCTCCCATCTCTCCAGTTCGTCCCGGCTCGACGTACTCTTCCCCTATCTTACCCTCGGCAGAATCACCCAGCTCCATACTTGCGAGACTTGCAAGCTGAGCTAATGTGTCCACAAACTCTTCTTTGTTGTTGTCGCTGAGCAAAAGCATAAGAGCTGCGACGACGCGACCATCACGCGCCTTCACCATCTGCACAAGACGTTCTGCCCCATCGTGCGGTAACTGGCCGCTTCGTGCCAAAGGGCGAATCCAATCGTGCACCAATGCACGGCGGTGGCGCTCCCAGGCTACCAACTCAATCAAAACTCCGAGCGTGTCCACGAGCTCACTTTTGTCCTGGTCTTCGTGGTACACGTCAATGGCTGCAAGGAAACGAGGGTCGCGACACTTCAACAACGACATCAACAACTGGATCTGCCACAGGTCAAGAAGTCCATTCCTTCCAAGATCTGCCAAGAGCCGACACGCAGCTTGGATCTCAGCAGCCGAACTAGTTTTATCTTCCTCGCATCCGAAGCGCGCATGCTTCACCACCAGTAACAACGTGTCCTCCAATTCATGAACATCGCCATCCACCTGGAACGCCTCGTTCGCAGCTCGAAGAGCTTCGTTGCCGCCATGAAATAGCACCAACAGTCCAGCAGCATCGCCACTTTTCACTGCACCACGCCGCTGCATCGCCTGTACCACGTCTTCAAGGCTCAGGGCGCTCGCCGGGGCACCACTCACAACGTTCTGTCCAGCCTGACTTTGCTCGATCAGTCGCTGGAGCTTAGCCACGCGTTGAAGCGTATCCAATAGCTCACTAGCATCACCGTCACCGGCAAACACTTCGTAGGCGCTTTCCATCAGGTTGTGACGCTGATTGACCATTACTTGCAATGTGGCCACGTCAGCCAGTGTAAGCTGTCGCTCAACTTGCCATTGTCGCAGTAAAAAACACAAATGTCGCTGCCACCCAAACGGCTCACAGTCGTTATCTTCGCTGTCAGCCCACTGGTCCTCTTCGCGAACAGCGTCGTCAAGACCACGGGCAAAAGCCGCTGCTACTTTTTCGTCATCACCCAGTTCCATTGTAATGTCTTCAACAATGCTCACTAGCGCGTCCCGCAACGCAGTCACATCTCGAACATCACTCTGCTCAAAGACACGCAACACATGCAGCACCTGCAAATCGTCCTGTTCCAGCAAAGCTTCGACAATGTCGAGCTCAAGGTTCGTCAGCAGCTGCAGCGCGTGCAGCGCACGGACCGTCGACTGGAACGACGACTGCGATCGCGCAGCACCGTCGTTCGTGCTCGATGGAACACGAAACGCACGCTCAAGCGGCCTCGTCGCAGCCGAATGCCGTCTACTCGGCTTGTTCCTCGGTCCTGTCGGCAGTGTAGCCACTCGGGCACCAGCTGTGATCGCCGCGACCTCTTCCGAGCTGCAGGTCCTTCTCCTGCTGCTCTTTCGATCGAACTTCGCACCCGGCACGCGGTCCGCCACGTCCACGCAGCGCTCGTCGAGCTCCTCGTGCTGATTCCGCACTGGATCCAGCGCCGCCCGCAGCGCGTCGACCGGCGCCGTATTCGTCGACCAGAGCGGTCGGTCTCTCCATTTGCGTCGCCCGGCACCGTGTGTACCCATGTGGTCCACATCACTTTTGTAGCCATGCGGGGTCGCCTGTAGCCATGTTTCATCCAGTTGGTCGACGCCCCTTTTGTCGCGCGGTGGCGTCAGCGTCAAGTGTAGCCATGTTTCGTTAAGTGCGTCCCCTCCTGCTTGAGAACCAGCTGGCGAGGGCGCAAACAGAGCCGAGACAGGTCCCACGAGGCGACTGGGCGCCCGACAGGCGACCGACAGTGGGACGAGGCGCGAGCGCACGTGCCGCCGCGCGGGCGCGAGGCGGAAGCCCGTGCAGGCGCTGCCGTCGCGATCGAGCGCAGCGGACACGAGCAGCTGCAGCTCGCGCGTCGGAATGCCCGCGTAGAGCGCAATGGTCGCGGGCGGCGACGCGCAGTGGAGCGCGACGTACGTGACGTCGCGGGTGGTCATGCGCGCGGAAATGACTTGGCAATTGTATGCTGCGGTGCCCGGGGGGCGGATGGGTGTACACTGGAGAAAACGGACTTAGACGGAGAGAGACCGCTTTGGCGTGGGTACATGCAGGTTAAGGGGGTAGAGTTTTGGGTCTGTGTGTGTGCGCGTAGTCTGTTTTATAGGATGGCGATGATCAGGATAGGGTCGCTCGTACTTTGTCGAGTGAGCATAGGGATGGAGTTGGTGGGAGTTAGGCACAGCGATGTTGGAGAAATGCAGGATTTGAGGGATTTATGATGTGTCAGTGGTCTCGATTTTGGGTCGTTTTTGTCGTGGCTAAAATGCAATGATGAATGCATTTGGACAGAAGACGCTGGTATGAGCCACCTCGAACGAATTGACGCATAAGACTGCAACTCCAGCCGCAAATCACTCATATCAACTGCGGTGGTCAGTGTCTGACATCTTCCAGGCAGGTTAAGACGCATAGTTTTGCAGCTTCGCTAGAGCTCGCGCGTGATTCGATCAGTTTAAATACCCGTTAAACGAACTGTTCTTGTTAATACAGTGAGCCGAGCACGTTGCCAAAAGCGTTTGAGCATGATAGCATCTCTCTCATTGAGACACACGTGTGGATGTGTTGAGGGGATGCATTTGCAAGTAGAGTCAAGAAAGACAAGAGATAGGAAGTAGCTGATGCTGGCTGTTTCGAGTAGAGCAATACCTTTTTGCTGGATCAAATGTGCATTCTACTCCCGCGGGCATTTGAGCGCAAATGATCGACTGTGGCCAGCTTGGGGTCAATTGATAAATGAATGGAAAACTTCCTTGCTGAAGAGGAAGCAGAGTTTGACAAGTAGACGGAGAATAGGTGTCATCGTGACGTGCTAAGCGGCACATGCAGAAGCAAAAGAGTGGACAGTCTACAAGCTTCTTCTACGTTGCTGACGTGGCGCTTAAGACCTCCGGACGTGAGAACGATGTGATCTGAAACGCAGTGTTATTGGCGCTGGAAATGGAGGCGTTGCTAAGTATTCACAAACGATGAGCTAACGCGAGTCATGTCTCAAAATCATGACTCGCGCGGATGCTGCAAAGGGAACGAATAGTGCAGTTATGTCACCGTAAGGCGCCATAGAGATGGGACGTTACTGAATTGGAAGAAGGCGACATGTGGTTCTTCATTCGTATCAGAGCGGATGAGGCGGAAAAGGTGGACAAATGGCTGTGCTGTGGATAAGGGAGCTGGCTGACGAGTGTCAATGGTTTGGTAAGCACGCATCGACGTTACGTGCAGACAGATTTTTTCGAGTACTGTGCGGATCCTGACTTCAAAAGCACACGCACTTCTATGGAACGTATTACATACTGTTTGGCAATACAAGTAGCACAACTTGTTTCCGTGTTTGATTGTCCATGCGCCCCTCGGCTTGCGGCGTCGACTGCGGATATCAGCACATTAATTGTGAGCGCTTACCGAGCGCAAATGTTTGATCGATTGGTACGAGCTCCTGAATGCACATAGAGTGCTGTCTGTCGCACCGAGAGAAAGCAACCATTTGAACTTCTCTTCTCAGCATTATAATCGAGGACGTTGTTCTCTGGCGAGCAGCTGAGTTACGGCTCAACCGGTCGCAGTGCAGTGATCTTTTTCTATAGGACCAGCATCCTTAGCATGGATTCAATCGCACATTTTCAAGACGCTCTTCCACACACTTCGCCTAGATGAGGAACGTGCAACCTTCTGCTATAGTTAAACAGACGGGACGAAGAAGTAGCATTAATATGCATCCACGTGTACCTACAAGGAAGGCGTCGAACGGTAATTTGCGTTTATGGCCTTTGCGAACATTTCGAAGGTCTTAACTGCACTCCTTATGGCGAAGTGTCGGTTTTGAGACGAGGAAGATGTTATGAGGACTCACTGCGATGTTTGATGCGATGAAAAGAGATTATTGCGTACTGAACAATCGATGCTGTGCACATTGTGGGTCAACCACTGAATACGAACAACACCCACCAATTGCGACTACGAGTATTGTTGTAGTAGCTACAATCATCAGCTATGGTTGACAAACACATCAACCTCGTTTCGGATCGTAGCGTGAAAACGGTCTTCAAAGGATGAATATTCTGGTTGTAACAGCTCGTCGTAGTAAAAGTGACGTCGAATCACTTTGTCGCGGCAACGTGAACTCGGCAACCAGCTTCCAACTTCAATTTGCGTCAAGGGCTTCCGAAACGAAGCGGGAGTGCACGTCAACTATACTTGTCCGTCCTGTAGAGACTGCGCTCGCTCATCCTATCGACATCGAACTTGTGCTCAGCGAGGTAGAATGTACCGGCGAGAGCAACATGCAGGCGTCAATGAACACTTCAATATCCTCTCAAACACAACGAGGAGACCTCGATAATGAATATGTATGGACACGTCTACATGACTTGCGTGGTAGCACGGCTTAGGTTACGAAGCGCACTGTCGTAATGTGAGCTCGAGAGACGGGCAAGTACACGAAATAACAAGCAAGAATGTCGACGGTTGGTCGACAAGTCCGACGCTCTAATTTTGCGTCGATATCTAAGTTTTGTATCACTACCATGGCACTTCGACAAGCTCCACACAGGCTAGAAAGCTCGTTTGATTTGCGAAGACATTGCGTAACTCGCCGCTGAAAAGCCTTTGTGAGAACAATGAGGTCGTCATGAAATGTGGGGTGGAGTCACTGACATGTGTCTAAGCAATGCGACGACAATCATGACACGAACGCGTCTTTGTTCACTTAATTCTTCGGGGTCACTTGACCAGAACTGAGGTTTCATTTCTAAGCAAACAAAGTTGCTCTCATGCTTGCTGTTGCTAACCTCAAGTCCTGTCTTACCTTGCTAGCCGTCAGTCTGGCACACAGTGAAGTCGCGACACTTCAGCAAGAAGAGCAGAATACATGTTGTACCGTGTGCTTCCTGCACCCCTGCAAATGTATGCCGTGTCCAACAGGGAGCTTCTTGTGCAGAGAGCGTAACTTAAGCGCTGCAAGTACAATCTACATATGTCTTCGTTTGTGGGTAGCACCTGTTCGATCGCGGACCTGTACGGCTGGAGGACAGGTAGAGATTACAGACAAACAACGCAATGCAAGGTGTAAAGCAAGTTGTATTGAGATCATTCGCTACACAAGCAGTCTGATGCAGACACACAACGCTTCACACTTCACTGCCATCGATGCCACGTCTACTACAAGGCGGTCCAAGCTTTGTATTGGTCTACATCCGGAGGCTACATCGGGATCCTCTCGTACAGCCGTTTTGCCCCCTTCGGAGTCGCAGCATGGCCTTGTTGACGCTGTTCTGATTGGCTTTTGAGTTTCTGCTGCCGAATATATTGCGCTTTCTTCAGCGTTGCAGCCGTGGGAGAGTTTATGCGTTCCAGCCACGCGAGGTAATACTCGAACTTTGGGTGTGACAGTATGGTATTGATGAAGATACTGTCCTTAATACCCAACCTCCTCTTGACAAAGATCCACGGCCTTTTTGACTCAGCCCACATATCCACTCTCGCATTCAGTTCCACTGGCAACTCGTCGGGGTCAACAACAACGTCTTCTTCGCTTTTCCAGAACCGCTGATAAATGGCGTCGTCTTCCATCCTTGCGTAGCGCAAGTACCGCCCGTAGTCATCGGAACGCATGAATTCGTCTAGCGGCATTTTTTTCGGCTTCAGCAGCATCCAAACAATGTGCGCGGTCTTGTGCTCGGAAAGCCACTTCTTCAGCTCGATCTCCTTACGAGCGTGTTGGAACCCTTCAAAAATTTTAAAGCCCGAAGCTGTCACGAGCTCAGTGCCGGTAAGTCCTTTCAGCCCCAACAGCTCCTTGACCTCGTCGTCAGTCTTACCGACTGCAAGCCACATATTTTTATCAAGCCACGATACAGCGGACGTGAGCAAACTCCTGTCTTCGTCGGCCGCAGGATCGGCCACTCGTAGCGACGACTTTGCCTTGTTGGATTGGTGGTTGTCGCTAGTAGGGGCACTTGCATTGACCGTAGCTGCCATCGACATTTGGAATTGGCTGCTAAGGACGCGCAGGGTGAACGCAATGACCAGGAGGAGGTCAGGAAAGTTCCGCATAGCTTTTGGGAGCTTCGGTCGAGGAGGCGAATTGCAAAGTGAGGCTTTGACCCGTTCGTGGGTTCGTGCACAACCAGGGCGGCAGAAGGTACGAGCGAGTGACCTCGGACCATGTTCAAAGTTTGGTGAGACAGACTTACGAAATCAAATCTGACAGACGCGGCGTCTGTCGTCTGCCCATTGGCTCGGAGCTCGTAAGTATAAAATGGTCGGTGCAAAGAAGCTTTGTCGGCACGAAGCGCGTGCTGGAATGTCGGCTGGTTTCCAGTGCGCTTGGGATGGGATCTGCCGTGGCCCCTCCAATAAATGATGGATTGTATGGATCGATGGCTCAACAAGCTTGCAAAGGTTTGACTCAATGGACAGGGCGGTATTTTATACGCGCAAACTAAACTAAACGCAACGATATAGATTCGTATCCTTTTTCCCCATGAATAGCATACCCTTCCATTTAAACCCTATTCTGACCCTATTTTGGGCTGTATCCATGCCACTTGTCCATTTACTCACACCGTTTGTGCTTCCGAGAGCGCACCTCACGGACAATCGAATGGGGTGCATGCATCTCGTAACAGGGGTTCAGCACTTTCTAAGGACGTACGATAGGGTACCGTAACTAATTTGCCGCATGGGTGTTGTAAACGGTAGTCTTTCGGAGGAGAAACTGTACCAAAAGAGTTCGATCGAACTCGCGCAGGCAGAAGGCGGTCTCTAGAAGCAGGAAAAGCAGATGTGCATTCATCTAGCGCACAAAAAAAGAGGTTCTCAGAGTGTGAAAACAAAAGAGAGGTGAAGCGTTTAATGCACGATTTCGATGCATCGGTCTGCTCCAACTCGCTGCCGACTTTGACCCCCAATGCTATGCTCTGCCTTTTAGTACTTCCTACTTCCTGCTTCCTTTGATAATTGATGTTATGGTGGATTGTTCTTGATCATAAGCTGCGGTCACTGATTGCTTGCTGTGCTGTCGTGATGAGCGGAAGATGTCGGAGTGCGTGTTTGAGTCGACCCGTACGTACCCTTGGAAAGGCTAATCGATGTACGTATAACGACTGAATCTCGCAAAAAGGTTTTGCTGCCCTTCGAGGCTCTTCCGATCGTTGGCCAACGAAGACGCAATCGGTAGCCTTAGGTGTTAAGCGCCAATGCCGTGGGTTGGGATGCAATATCGAGTGCATGTCAGCAGCCGGCACACTTTTACACGGCATGTGGAACTTTTATTGGTTTTCTTTTGCTAAGTTTGAAAGCGGTGGCGCAAGCTCTACCAAATTTATGGCAGTATGTTACGACTTTCCCTAGTCGACGCAAGAAGTGGCACGTGAGTAGACAAAGTATCGTGAGCGCATGAGATTTCTATCATACGGTGCCGACGCCTCTAACCTACCGATATGTTAGTGTGCTTCTCCCTATGCCACATCGTTCTCCTCCTCGCTGGCTCAGTCTACTGGCTCGGGACGTCAGGCGTCACGAGGGAACTCCGCACAGGGCACGTGGAATCGAATGTCCAGTCCGGGGTGCATACAGCGCGCGAAGAACGCCGGGCGCCACTCCAATCATTCCCGATAAGAGGGGGCGCTGACGCATCTGAACGGGCCCAACGATCACACCACGTTCTGGACAAGATCGCTTCGCAGAATCGTAGACCATGCGCAGCGACCAGGCCGGCAACTTGAGAGCTGGTGTGGCATAGCAAAAACCAGGAAAGGCGTGACAATTGCAGGCGCCGTGCCCCTCACCCCGTAGTAACGAGGTTGCTGCTCCCCTTTCGGTTAGCACGGCAAACACGTTTTCCACGTTCAACCTGATCATATCCAGTGGGGACTTTCCTGTCAGGGTAAAGGAGCCGGTATCATGTCGCAGTACATGTCTTCATCGGTCGGCCGTTGGTTCTCAAACGATCAAATTGTCAGGTGCTGGTCATTAAACGAGCTTGGTGGACGCTAAGCTGTACTGCATATCACAGGGTACAACCGAATGGAGGACAATGTATCGGAGGTAGAACTTCTTTCTCTCGTCACGAGAAATGTCTGTACCTCTTATTTTGCCGCATAAGTTCCTCTGATGCGCTCACAATCATATTCGACATAGCTCAATGAAAAGAGACCGTCAAGAGATCTCACAATAGGTGACGATGGGCATAAAAATTTCGTGACTAACACGTCATCGTACGGCTCTCGGTCAGGCGCTGAGCAAGTTCGGCCTGTCATATTGCAATCATCGAGTTTGACGCTAACATGGCATCGGTTGGCCACCATGACGCAGTCGATTTGCCGTTCGGGCCCTCTGCAGCAAGTTTGTTCCAGATAAGGTCTCACCTGACTGATGACTTCCTTCGCGTCGTGTTAAAGATGCAGTGTTGAGTGTGCACATCTCGTGTACTTGTTTTGAACTAGTTGACGACCGGTCTTTGACTAATCTGGAGAGGCCAGCTGCTTGTCAACGAGAGTACGACACCGGCTCTCGCTTTGCCTCGATCGCAAATGACGCTGCAAAGAAGATTCGCAGCTTCCTCGAGGAACGTATTCACCACATCGACAGACGAACAGATCACCAATTGCGGCTGGACCGGCGACTTCAAGTCTCCACAGGAAGGCGACCGCTTGCGAACTGATGCGGTACGAGTACGAGGCGAGCCGAATAGATGTGCCATGCCGTTTTGTGTCCTTCCTCGTTGAGCTATAGACCTCACACGTTAGTGAACCAGATCGCAGCGCGGTATGCTATGGGCTCTGCCAGATGACGTGCAATCGACCGGATGAACGCAGATTGCAAGCGCAAGTAGTTTCGCAGGTTACACGGGTCAAACTGGGAAGCCCGGCAGTGGGTGAGTGCTCAGACGACGTAGTGTTCCTCGCGAGTGGTGACGATCGCGGTGTTCTGTGGTGAGCACAGGATCAGCGTTACCTGCTGAAGCTACAACGACGACCACAATCAAGAATGACTGCGATATCATTGCACATAGACCGTCTTGCTGGTACGATCAGTTGGCCCTTACACGAAACTAGACGTGAAGGTACATCCATAATCTTGCCTCGGGTGAGGTCCTTACGATAAAGGAAGTGAAAGCCAACTTGCTTTGCGGGCCTAAATGAACGCGTGCGGTGTTGAGTACACGCGTGTGGTGTTGAGTACATGTGTGTGATCCACGGGCAGAAAGCTAAGACGAGCATGTTTGTATCTACTGGACCTTGCAGTTAGAGCTACTGTACGAGTTGTTTGCTCTGAAGCAAAGCTTTACCTTCAGCGTACAGCAGCGAGAAGAACCTTCATGACTCTCGTCTTGTAGATTGTAGCATATCCCTGTCGACGGACTTTACGTGGCGTGGTGCAGCATCGCTTTGGAATGTGCAGATCGGCAACGTTGTATGCCTCCGTTACCGATAACTTTCGTTGTCAACACATGAGCGCTTACGCAATGCGAATAGCCGCATATTTTCACACCAGTCTTTTTCAGACTATGTCGAGGAGTGGGGCGAACCGCTACGCACCGATCCGCTTTCCTCTTGCTTAACTCCTCTCTAGGGTGCGGCCAAGTTCGCATAGGACAGCAACCCTCACTCGACTTGCACGGACCCTTTTACTCAGCTCACGAAGCCGGACGTGAATCTTGTGCTCATGAGTGACGGCAATGTCGAGTCCATTTCGATTATGCGGCTGTAGACGAACGTGCAACAAGTGCTGAAGTTGCCGTCTACGACGCCGATGACAGCCAAGAGCAGCACTCGAAGCTGAAAGCGAATAGTCGTGGGGTACGCGGCGGACACAGACCCGCAGCGGTACAGCGCTGCCAGGAACGCTGACGCAAAATGCGTCTGCTCCGCATTCGTAACGAGATCGACGCCGACGAAAAAGTCCGCGTCTTCTGCGCGACAACGACGTCGTGCAGAACGTTGCCACGGTATGCAGTCTATCTGTTCTTCTTTACACTCAGCTTGACATACTGAATGGAACGGATGTTTCCACCCCTTTGACATTGACGGAATCGCTGCCGTCATATGTGGCTCGAGGGCGTCCCCGACGTGCTCTCGTTCCGTGAGCTTGGACTGCCCTCGCCCGCTGCTTAAGCTCGTATGGTCTTGACGTAGCCCAACATGTACTGTGACCGGCTGCAGGCCTCGTAACGAAACAATTTCATAGGCATCGTGAACCAGCAAATTAGCGAGAACTGGGCGAGCTCGTCGACGAGCTCAACGAAGAACTCTCTGCAAGGTGAATTGACCACAAGTCCATTGCCGCCCTCTTCAGTGACGGCCCACAGCTTTGCTCGGAACAGGAAAGCTGCTTTACCGACGCCATGTGCTCCACTGGTGATAAGCGACGCTTTTGCGTCGATAGACACACAGACATGCTTGTGCAGCTGACAGCCACGTCTCATTGCGTCGTGTCACACTGAACAACGTGTGTTGTGTCTCTTCGTATACCGAGAAGCAGAGAAGCGCACGTGACGCTTTGCTATTTCTCAATGAAGAGCCGACAGCTGTCGATCGATCGTTCGGCCATCGTCACACTCGGGACGCTACTCGAAAGGATCACGGGACGTTTGACAACGACTTGAGGGTCTCCAGCGTCTTTTCCGCCAAGAACTAGCGCCTTGAGGTCTGTCGAGTGCGTGCTGCACACGACTGAAGACAAGCGGCTCACTTGTTTGCAATGGGCGACTTTCGACGCTCGCCCGTCTACTTCGATCTAATTTGCTGATCCTGATCGAGCTTGGGCTGATGGGAGCCGGTGGTTACGTCGGTGGTGCCACGGCCGACTGCATGCTTGAAGTTGTACACACAGGCACAGCGAACCGACCCCCGTGTGGTTACATGCAGTAGTTTGGACAAGACGTTGGCCGAGGAGGTGGTCGAATAGCGCCGTCAAAGGGCCGGTATGGCGTTTGCTAGTCATGACGACCGTAGCACCATGAAGTCGGGTGGTCAATGGAGCAGATGCGGTCGCGACAATCTCGAACTGGCACGCCAGAGACCATCGTCGAGCAAGCAGTGTGTCGCGTTCCGAGGAAGAGCTGGTCATTACTTGCAAGACGAGGAGTTACGGAAGTGGCGGTCGGACTATGGCCTGCTTCGCGCAGGGCGTGTGCGGCACTCTCTCGCATCTTCCGATGAAGTTGTGTATTGGCGATCTGCTTTGCTCTAATGACAGACTTGCGAGCGACATGGCATCGGTGTCCGACGTCCATGAGAAGCTCACCAAAAGATGCAGCCCAACGAGTAGGAATCATGTGATGCTCACGCACTACGGCGTCCGTCCGTGTTTGCTGTACGTGCGATGGACTTGGACATGTTCGTGCAGGTTTACCAAAGACAGCAGCCAAACTCTTTCGTTCCTGCGATGGTCACGACGGCTCTGTCTGTCTAAATGCGTCATCGATGCCGTAGCAGAATATTAAGCTCCTGCGCGCATCAGAGTCCACAGCTGCCACAACTCCGCCAACATCAGCTCGACACGGTCAAGAAAGTCATGTCGCAACACTACTAGCGAGAGCGCCTTCTCACTTCCAATGGCCATGTGATTGCAGCTCATCGAGCGCAGCTCACTGTCACTTGTCACCACTGAGAAGCGACAATCTGCTCATCAGCTTTCGAGTGACGACAGGCGCAATGCTTAGCGTTTCAGCGCGCAAACTGCACTTGCATATCGCTGGCGGAGTACGTTTGACACTGTTCGGTCACCTAAGCAGCAAATACACGGAGGGGATGCGATACAGTGCAATGGGTGATGACGATGGTGACGATTACGATGATGTACAAACATCTTCCGATCTGCCTGCAAAGATGTAACGATGTCGGCCACATGTGTGTGCTGCCTGCGTCAAGAGCAGTCACTGAACTGTGAAACGGCGATCTGGATCGAAACGTATAAGGGCCTTCCATTCGTGTCACGAAACACTGCTGCATCGAGTCAACTGCCACGAAAGCCACAGCGTCACTACAACTGAGCTTTCTGGCTGTTACGTCAATAACGGATCGATCGACAACGGCACAACCACTCGTGTTTCAGCAGCAGCAGCTGGCGCGTTCACGCGCTGTAGTAACGGTGCGTTTTTTTGCCATCTTCCGAGAGCTGTCGTGCTCCTTCAACCGACCCAACAACAGTTGCTGCGAGTTGGTCGTCGCTTTGCCTTCGAGCCTTTCAAGTCGTTGCAGTAGCCACACCCGTTATGCATCAAGTCCCATTACGATCCGTGTTCTTCCATATGACAAGCTAGACACGCTGGAACTGGTGTCGCACGCGCTATCGATGACAAACGCGATCGCTACTACCATCGTCAAGGCAAGTGCACGCGCACTTTTGCCCGTCAACTTCTGAAAAAGTCTCCACTCTGATCCCAACACCTCATGTGCACGGACGCAAACTACATGCACAACTTCCGGCTTAGTAGTGTGCAGCCACACTTGGTGACAGGTGCTTGATTCGAACTCGTTGTCACCAGCGGTGAAGCCAGCACTGGGCGGAGCTCCAAAGACTCGAGCTTCTCTTGGTGCCACCATCACGCAACGTTACATTGCAATCGTATCGAAGCAAGAGACAACGGCTCACAGTCTACTCGCCCATGTCGGCATTCGTAGTCAGCGTATGCTCTTGACCTACAGCTGAAGTTACGTGAGTATGCCGACCTCTATTCGGGGCGCTACCCGTTCGAAACGACCCGAGTTCGCGCTGCACGGGCAGCATGACACGTTGTCATGACCGATACCGAAACATCCGAACGGTTCGATTTAGGAAGTCGTGCGACACGTTCGAAGCTTTCGTCTGTCGTCGCTTGTTAAGGCGGAACAATGAACAGTGCGTCATCACGAGTGGACTCGCACGTGTGCATCGTAAGAGAAGTCGAAAAAGACACTTGTGGTCCCCTCAATGACGTGTGTCGTCCCAAAGTCGTCTTTGCAATAGACCACATCGATCCTGCGACTGTGTGTTCTGTTTTGTCGTTCGAGCGCGTGTACAGATCGCCAATTCGTACCTCACGATTCAACTGATCGTTGCCGCAAAGCTCTGTCGGTTGAGCACGCGTTACAAGTAGCAGTCTCTCTGTCTTTACCTTTTGTGCTGTACTTGACCCCACTGCTGTGCAGCAACGTACGTGTCGATGGACATATACGTCCATGTCTGTAGCTGTCAATTCGGCGATCCGAGTGGTACCTTTTCTTGGACTTCAAGCTCAGTTACGCCTCCTTCGTCTATCGCAGATGCACGAACACGTTGCCGCCAAGCAGCTTTGGTCCGCCCTCAATCCTTCCGGACCAACCGCCGTGTGTAAGGGAAAAACGGTCCACAAGACCTCTCGCTTGACGCGTCAGAAACAGCTTTCGCTGAAACGAGGAACGGATCCCCTAAACAAGTCAAGTTGCTGCGTCACATTGCAAAGTTGTACTACGATAGCACCAGCGCTGACACCAATGTGTGTTGCCCACGCGCTTTCGCGTACAAAGGTCGCGCTCGGTCGTATGGTTTTGCCAGTATGTCTAAGGTGCGGTGGCAGTCTTTGCGGCCCGCGTGGTCAGAGTGCCGGTTTCAGGTCTTTTCTTTCGCAGCGCGCGGTTATGATAGTGCTGGCCTTACGATGCCAACCTGGCCAGGCGATCAGGAAAAGGACGCGTAACAACGGATGGCGCATGTCAAGTGGAATGTTCCCTGTCGAGTCATGCCTTTCGGGCCCCTTCGGGTCCTGGACAGGCAGTTAGTTGTTGCCAAGGAGCTCTCGGTGAACTCGCGAGTTCATCGTACAGCAGTCTCACATCTCAATTCGCCCACTCTCCCAAACGAGTACATCCACCGCCTCCCTACATCACTCCAATGATGTCCTTCCGCACGTTTCTGCCGCTATCCCAGCAAAGCTTTGTCGAGATGCCCCAGTTGCTCGGTCTCAAGCCAAAGCAGCAGCACCAGCAGCACCAGCAGCACCAGCAGCAGCAGTTGAAACCGGTCAACAAGTGTTCGCTTGACTTTATCCTCTCGAAAGACGAGGCCGTGGCCAAACCAGCTCTCCTGCCTTCATTTCCATGGACGTCACCCCAGCGATCGTCGTCCAACAAGACGTTCGCCCCGATCCTGGCACCGCCCTCAGGTCCCTGCAAATTCGCAAAGCGCAGACGTCTGCAGCACATCAGCGTGTCCAACGGTAGCACGAAAGTCTCCGCGAATGCTGGAAAGGCCCTTGCAAGTGGTACAGTGGTCAAAAAAGGCAGCAAGTACTGCATGGTGGACGGCTGCATGAGCCGGGCCAAGCACGCACGTCGTTGTTGGCGCCACGGTGGCTCGATCAAGTGCAAGGTCCCGGATTGTACCAACCGCGCAAAGACCAAAGGCGTTTGCTGGTCGCACGGTGGCGGAACGCTCTGTTCGTTCCGCGACTGCACGACGATTTCGGTCTCCAATGGGGTCTGCTGGGCCCATGGCGGCGGCAAGCGCTGTGCAATGGACGGATGTGCACGTCCAGCCTACGAACGGACCGATCATTTGTGCACGCTACACTTTGAGGAAAAGCAGTACAGTGCACAGGTTCAAAGCATCAGCACGCAGTGCCACCAACACCACTGCTAACGCACAGAGAATGCAAACGTCATGCATTGAATGGCTCGTGAGACAGACGCCAAGTGACTGCGGCAGTACTTGCTCAAGTGATTGCGGCAGTACTTGCTCAAGTTACTACGGCGTTAACACCTGCGTGTGTTTCGGCACTTGCAAACAGCACATCTTCGTGCTGTGTTTCAGAAACGTATACGCACATCTCCAGACACGATACATATAGATACATACTAGAGGAACGAATAAATCCATCGATACAAACGTGTACTACCGAGTTTGAAACCCACAATGTACTTCGTGGCAAAGTCAACACGACAACAAGGCTTTGTCAACTGCGCAGCATGTCGTGGAAGTCATCTACATTCCTCATTATTCACAGCGTGATCGTACCTTTTCTCTATCCCATGCGCACCATCGACATGCAGCTTCTCTAAACTATCCAACACCTCCATCGCAGGGCTAGTTTACCGTACCGTAAACCTACCCTGCGATGGAGGTGTTGGATCGTATCACCACGGTCTGCAGGTCAGCTCGTTGCCGAAACTGATGTGGTCGGAAGACCGGATCCTACAGCGCTTGCCCATGCAACACAGCCTGTTGCAGCTCAAGCGCGTCATACGCCTGCTGGAATAGCGGATGGAAATACGTCTTCCACTCGGCATATGGAATACGCTTATCCTTAGTATTCGGAGTTGGGCCTCCGTCAACGTCCTCGCCACCACGAAACTCGTGCCAGTCACATCCCACGTGGTCGCAAATATTTTTATAGCCGTAGCGATACTTCTCCTTCGGGAAAATCTCCACCACCGTAGTCATCGGGCGCGTCCAAATCACGTTGACCAGACCAGCACCGTGCATACTGATCACCATGTCGCTCTCGATAGTAAACGTCATCTGCTCATGTAGCGTAATGTTCACGTAGTCAATCGAGCGGAACTCTACGTTCAAATCTTTGTAGTCCTTCCGCATGTTTGCCATCACCTCGTCCTCGTTCACCCATATGCGTTGCAACTTACGTCCCAAGTATGGCTGGCGAGTGATCACGGTCACATACATTGGTCGGATCCTGGACACACCGAGCTCACGTTCAACTTCCGGCGTTATGTTCATCTTGAGAAGAGACTGCGCGCGAAACGTCTTCAGCAACCCGGAATCATAGCACGACTCGTTCTGATTCACGTGCTGAAGAGCGGGGCCCGAAAACTCAAACGGACTGAGCAACACATCCCCACGAAAGTGTACACGTTTACCGATCAGCGTTGCGCCATCAATAATCTCATAGTTGGGTCCCAACATGACTCTTTGCAACGCATCGTAGGGTGAAGGGTAGCCCGCATCCAGATGAATCACACGGGTCCTCGCAGTATTCCACTCTAGCGCCGTGAGCATAATCCACGAATTCAACGCGCTTGACAGTTGGAAAAATGGGTTGTGGTCGTCGTGGCGTGCCATCAACACGACAGGGTCTTCAAACACCACCGTCTCGTGGTCATCTGGCGCTGTAAGTGGATTGTTCACAAAGTCCCAATCCGACCGATTCATTCCCGCCGATCGATTCACCAGACAATACACTGGCTCGGGAATATTCTGCTTCTCCGGCAATGACGCCAACACGTTTCGCCACATCATTTGTGCTGTGCGCTCATCGTCCCCCGGTAGCCCTTGAAAATAAGGTGCAAACTCCTCGCAGGCACAACTAATCATCTTCATGTTGAACTTGAACCTCGGGTCGTGGTGATAGCCGTCTTCGGCTACGCTTTTAATTGGAGCTTGAATCGACGCGTTCACGAAATCCAGCATGACGTTCTGCAAGACGGTACTGCGGAGCCCGTGATTCGTGTCAAAGAGCGACATTTTCGTCGCACGGGTCGGACTCACTGGCGCTTGTTTCGACCGGTCCCACCCGCCAGTGGCACAAAAGGTTTTGGCAGACTCTCGTACTGCAGCAATGATCCCCACGTCCTGTTGGGCATAGCACTCGGCCTTTTTCTCGTCACTTTCGTAAACATGTGGCGGTTTCGTCCGTTGCTCGATCAACCGGTTAAGTTGCGCTTCTTGTCCCACGCTCAATTGCGGCACGTGGTACGATGTTGACGTCATCCAAGCGCCACGACGACCCAGGACCCCGAGGCGATGCGCTGATTGGCTTAAATTCAAACTGCTCGTCACGGCGGACACGTCCACCACTCGCATGACAATAGAGGCGGTGCCCAGCAGCAGCACTACGAGCGCGAGCGTCTGTAGCTGGCGCCGGCGCGTATCACAGAAGGCCGAAGCAGACTGCAGAACGACGGCAGCGAGGGGCGCGTGAGTATCACTAGCAGCGGTCATGGGGACGGAGTGCCTCGTGCGATCGACGACGCTTGGCGGATTGTAAGGCGGGGTATGGTGGGCTGTGATTGGACGAAAAGATGGAGTGCGAGTAGAGGAATCGCGTGCAGCGAAATCCTGAGACAGAGATGTTTGTGCGGTGTACCGAGAGTGTCGATTGGACGATGCACACGCCGTGCCAGTATGTGGTACACACGATTTGTCCTTGTGAATAACTATCGAGGGCAATACAGTGACGCACTAGTTGGATAAAAACGTTTCGACGTGAATACGATATTGCTTACATTTGGCGAGCAGAACTGTTCGAGGAAAAAGTATAAATTACAGACGTTTGGGGCTGAGTTGTAAATAATGCTTGCAAGCCTTATCCTCTACCGTAGAATATTGACTGCTTATGAATACGCAAATCCCTTACTGTTGACACTAAACGGCGGTGCATTAGTGTTTGTCTGCTCGTCACAACAGGACTTAAAAATAAAAATGATTGTGTCACGGGGCACGCCTTGTGTCAATTCGACACAAGGATGTGTGCACCCGACGTCACGTACAGGTAGCGTGAGGAAGCGCAGCGAAGTAGGCAGAACTCGAACGCTCTGTCTAAGGAAAAAAAGTAGAAGTGTATTCAATATAGTTGTGTTTCTTAATAAGCTATCTTTGTCTTGAGCTAACTATATTAAACTACAATCTCTTATGTATGTTTCTTGCTCACCACCCATTGCACGCGTCCAGCAGCGATTGGTGGTTAATCTGGTTGATGTATTGTGAACATCAACCATCATGTGGAGCAACCCATCAAAGAAATATTACCCACGGGGTTAATCTTCCTTTACCCTTATTCCTTATGGGTAATGTCAATCGAACATAATCTAAATCGATAATGTTCAAAATTGATACACAAAAATCAATTTTTGTGTAACGGGCTCACCCCGTTGCATCACCCCCCTTAACCATCGGTCACTACAGTGAGTGATTGATTGGTGACAGATTGACCACCGATGGGTAGCTCGGTGGGAAAGGGAGCACTTGTTGGTTTTGCCCAACGCATTAATCCTTTCGGCGCATGACGAGTTCGTCCATGCGCTGCGCGAACAAGACCGCGACTAAAGCGGCTGCATAGATGCGTGCAGCCGGAGAATAAGCTGTCCAAGACTCAGCAGTAGTTGACTTGACACCTGCTGCTGCCAGTAAGCAGTCTGCAACTCCGGTAACTGCAGGGGCGCGTGGTCATCCACGTGCTGCTCTTTCACCCGCAGCTTCGTCTGCAGGAGGTAGTCCGACGGACCAAGATCCAGAGATGAAGGTAATCGATTCGGGCGAGTCGGATTCTCCGTCCGACTCGAAGCCGTGCGCAAAGCTCGACCATAGGGTTGCGGGATTGACGAATGCTGCACCTCGCGGCAGTCTTGATAAAGACTCGCACCATGAGATGTTCAGTTCATCCAACGAGTCCGTGAACTCGTCGCCGAGATCGAACCGATCGCGCTCATATTTGTACGAGACGAGGTCGAAACCTGAAGACTTAAGTCCTCATGAGAATGTCGATGACTCTTCGCGGAGTCATACAGACATAGCCGCTGCAATACTAGGTATAACGGCGATCGTGATGCCAACGCTCATGTTGGCACCACGCAGGATGAGCAGGATCGCAACGCCTTGCGATCTGCTCCTGAGAACAAGCCATGGATGCCTAACTTGAGCGAGCTGAGCCAGTGGTATGTTTATACAACTGGGATTTGCCGGATCCCACTCTTTGACTCGTCAACGATCGACGGACTTGATCCCAGTGCGAGAAATTATCACACTGAGCATTAATTTTACATCGATGTCTTTTTCAGACATCGATGGTACCACGGAAACCACAAACGAGACGATTTCTCGTTGGCTCAGGCGTGAAACTCGTTTATCCGCAACATTGAAAGTGTTGGCCGTGACACTTGACTGGACAAACTTACTGCAGATCGCAATTAGTTTAAACAGAAGTCCATTACCAGTTCTTGGTTCAAATTGCACCGATTGCCTCGAGAGGCAGGTTTACCGTGCCCCTCGTGGGTAAAGAAATGTCGGAGTTGTATTGACAACTCTTTTTGCGCCCCTAGGGAGGCCTTCCTCCCGAAAAATTCTACTGGAGGGCGCGCATCTCTTCCGAGTGGTGCGAAAAGATTGAGTCTTTACGATACTTTTACGAACGCGACGGGCGTTCCTTCGACGATGGTCCTCCTTCAAAGGGTGGGTCTCATCGTACTGTCGAAGATGCCGGGCTCATCTATCATCAACTGGGAGCGGGGATCCCAGCTGTTTCACGAGGGTGGATACTCTCGCCACTGGACGAGATAATTTGACCTTAATCCCGAATCGTCACGGTGGTTCAAGATACGCTCCACAAGGAAGCGTTGGCCACCGTGTGAGTCCACGAAAGGATGTGGAGGAGGAAAACCTCTTTCAAGTTATTCGGTCCACCATCTCGACCAATTCGAGATGGATCGCTCAATCGATCAATTGCGCGACGATTTGGAGCACGAGCGGGACAGGCGCTACGCTTTGACCAATTCCGTGCGGATACACCGCAAGGATCGTGAGGCTGATCGGGCGAAGGATCATACCGATTACGCCCTCGCAAAACTTCAGCCTAAGCGCGATACCCGCTCCCTCGTTAAACAACTGGGGACAGATCGCAGAAATCTCTCTGAACTGCGTGGAGAGATCTCTTCGTTGCGCGTCCAGACTGATTGTCTAGAAAGCGAGCGCAAGAACCTAATGGAGGTTTTTGAACGTGGGGGGTATCTTCATCGTCAGAAAAGGGATCGTACTGAAAGTACGGGCGGAGAAGTCCCACGTAAAACGTAGGATGCGTGCGAATCCTACGTGGCAGCTCGGTCGTGTATGCGTTGCTTTGACGGCTTAACACACGAAAGGGGCCGATGTACTTGGGCAGTAGTTTTCTGCTGTCCACGTTAGTTACTACATGTCTAGGTAGGTTTACCCCAGATAGTAGGACTAAGTCGCCTTCAATAACTAAAATAGCATTTGATCTTCCATTCATTTCAACGTTTCGTTTCTGCCGGTCCACCGCGTGAGCGATGGAATCCTGCAAGAAACGAAACACTGCTTCACGAGACAGCAAAACTCTTTCTGTTGAATCGGCCTTGTTGTGTGTAGTTCGCCTTGTGCGAACCGCAGAAAGAGTCCTTTCGTCTCTCTTTTCGTCAGCGAGGGTGTTATCCTCTCTGGAGTATTCGTTGGCGATTCTAAAAATACTAGCATCGTCATCATCATCGGTCAATAATAGCGTAATCGCTATTATTGAGATGATTTTCTTCATCGATGTCAACCTAATCGACATTGGCATCATACGTGACGACGTTAGCGTCGACATGTGATGAGCAAGAGCCAGAATGGTTTGTGCTTGAGAGAGTCTCTCCACCCTTATCTAATAGTCACACTCTTTATAGGAGGGCAGACGTGGATGGAGTAAGCCATTCACGATGAACGGCGTATGCTGTGTCGAGGCATGCACCGAATTATTGATGGCGAATTTCACTAGAGTTAGGATTCACTCCAATTCGAGAACGAGTGGACGTAGCCCCGAAGTATTTATTAAGGCATGGTTTGCACGTTACGTCTGACTATCTGTTTCGGGATAGTGAGAAGTAGACATCTTCAGCCTTGTTCCGAGTGAACGGAACACGTATTGTCGAAAGTATGCCGTAAGCCGAGGATCACGGTCTGACACGAGTTGACGGGGTATCCATTGGAGTCAAACTATCGTGTCAGTGAAGACACGAGCACAGCCCTGTGATCGACTCGGGGACAGCAGCACAATGCAACATCTTGCAGTACCGGTCAACAAACACAAGGATGCCATTTTTCTTGTGATCGTCTTGAAAAAACCGAAGACGAAGTCCATAAAAATGGCCTGCCAAAACGCTGCCGGAAATGTTAAAGGTTGCAAAGGGGCACGGGAAATAAGGACTAGGCTTCATCCGTTGACAAACCCGCAAGCACGAATGTACTTACTTACAAACTGATACTGGCGGGACAGTAAAAATCACGACGTACCGAAAGTTGGGTCTTTTATCTTCCACGATGACCACCTGTTGAGGCATCATGACACTCATTCATGATGCGTAAGCGCAAGTTGTTATGAGCGGGGACGTTGACACGAGGTGTGTCGCCGGCAACGGCCGTATAGTACAGCAACTCGTTGCGAGTTTTATACCGATCCGAAGAGGATCGGCACAAAGCCGGTAAATCTTTCAAAAATTTACGAGTTGGATTCTCCAGATGATCCATTAAGAGCAGAAGATCCTTATCTTCTGTGTAGGTATTTCTCATGTCGTCATGATATAGTGAAGATGGCAAACTGACTGTAAGTGTCGCAACAGTGGGCATGTCCTCACTGTTGGATTGCGCGCCCGAATTAAAATCGGGTCGGCGCGATAAGGCGTAAGCGACGACGTTGAGGCGTCCTGGTTTATACTCCACGGAGAAGTTGTACTCCGCAAATAAATACAGCCACCTCTCCATTCGTTGCAAGAGGAGTAGACTGTGTTTGGCTGTGAGTAGTGACGCATGGTCCGTATAGACGATAAATGGTCTATCTTTCAAGAGATAGACCCGAAACTTAGCCAGTGCGTATTTCATGGCAAGGAGCTCCTTGTCATGCACTGGGTGATTGCGTTTAGCTGCTTGCAGCTGACGCGATTGATAGCAGAAGACGCGCTCTGCGCCGTCTGTGTCATACTGCCTCAACGCACAGCCGATAGCAAAATCGCTGGCGTCACGTAACACATGAAATGGTCTGTCCTGATCTGCAATCGCCAAGATGGGCGATTGCATCAAGCTTTTATTAATACCTTCAAAGGAAAGCTGACAGTCAGCGTTCCATGACCACTTCACATTTTTCTTAAGTGAACAAGAAAGATGCACCGTCATACCGGCGTAATTGCGCGAGTACTTGTGCAAGTACGCCGCTAGTCAAAGGAACTAACGAAGTCCCTTGA